ATCCCTTATTGATGTCAATTGTTAAATACAACTCAATATTAGGAAGGGGTTCTTAATGTTTTGTACACTCGGTGTGTATGTTTTTCCAATAACATTATTTGAAAGCTCTTTGAACGTTACTAATGTTTTTTTGTAGTTTTTATGGAAAGTTTTCTGAGAACATTACTTTAAATAGAACCATGAGGAAACCTACAGAAAACGTTATGCTAAAGTACTGAAATTCCCACAGAAGAACGTTGTTTCGTAAGGTTCTGAGAACATTACTAAATAGAACCATGAGGAAACCTGTAGGAAACATTATGCTGAAGTATTGAAATTCCCACTGAAGAACGTTGTTTCTTAACATTCTCGGAACAATTTGAGAACATTACTTTAAATAGAACCATGTGGAAACATTATGCTGAAGTATTGAAATTCCCACAGAACGTTGTTTCTTAACGTTCTCTGAACTAGTTGAGAACATTCCCAAAGTCAAACCAGTTAGAGAACATGCCTAGAACATTACCGAAATTCAACTAAATGTAACCATGTTTGAACTTTTAGGAAACGTTCTGTTAAATTAATGAAATACCCCCAAAAATAACTTTATTTTGTCAAGTTCCTTAAATGTGCTGAGAATGTTCCAAAGCCAAGCAACTATCCTGCACCATTCCCAGAATGTTGTACGCCAAATAACCATAGGACAACAACAGTCTCACCAAGCTCTAAGATATGTCCATCATTACTTTAAGACATGAAGGTCAGTCAATCTGGATAATGTCAAGAACTTTGAAAGTTTCTTCAAGTTCAGTCGCAAAAACCATCAAGCACTATGATGAAACTGGCTCTCATGAGGACCGCCACAGGAAAGGAAGACCCAGAGTTATCTCTGCCGCAGAGGATAAATTCATTAGAGTTAACTGCACCTCAGATTGCAGCCAAAATAAATGCTTCACAGTTCAAGTAACAGACACATCTCAACATCAACTGTTCAGAGGAGACTGCGTGAATCAGGCCTTCATGGTCGAATTGCAGCAAAGAAACCACTACTAAAGGACACCAATAATAAGAAGAGACTTGCTTGGGCCAAGAAACACAAGCAATGGACATTAGACCGGTGGAAATCTGTCCTCTGGTTTGATGAGTCCAAATTTGAGATTTTTGGTTCCAACCACTGTCTTTGTGAGACGCAGAGTAGGTGAACAGCTGATCTCTGCATGTGTGGTTCCCACCGTGAAGCATGGAGGAGGTGGTGTGATGGTGCTTTGCTGGTGACACTGTCAGTGATTTATTTAGAATTCAAGGCACACTTAACCAGCATGGCTACCACAGCATTCTGCAGCGATACGCCACCCCATCTGGTTTGTGCTTAGTGAAGGAAAAGCAGCCAACAAGTGCTCAGCATATGTGGGAACTCCTTCAAGACTGCTGGAAAAGCATACCTCATGAAGCTGGTTGAGAGAATGCCAAGAGTGTGCAAAGCTGTCAACAAGGAAAAGGGTGCCTACTTTGAAGAATCTAAAACATATTTTGATTTGCTTAACACATAGGACAACCACAGTCTCACCAACCTCTTATTCTCCGAACAATAATTAAGAGTTTAACCCTGGCATTTCAGCTGCAGCTCATTCCATTATGTTTCCACTCCCTCTCAAAGGCTGCAACAACACTGATCAACACAAGATATTTGTATTTTCATGTATATTAAATAGCCTTGAACAGATTAGTTACATAGACATGTACAGTGAGGGAAAAAAGTATTTGATCCCCTGCTGATTTTGTACGTTTGCCCACTGACAAAGAAATGATCAGTCTATAATTTTAATGGTAGGTTTATTTGAACAGTGAGAGACAGAATAACAATAAAAAAATCCAGAAGAACGCATGTCAAAAATGTTATAAATTGATTTGCATTTTAATGAGGGAAATAAGTATTTGACCCCGTCTCAATCTGAAAGATTTCTGGCTCCCAGGTGTCTTTTATACAGGTAACAAGTTCAGATTAGGAGCACACTCTTAAAGGGAGTGCTCCTAATCTCAGTTTGTTACCTGTATAAAAGACACCTGTCCACAGAAGCAATCAATCAATCAGATTCCAAACTCACCACCATGGCCAAGACCAAAGAGCTCTCCAAGGATGTCAGGGACAAGATTGTAGACCTACACAAGGCTGGAATGGGCTACAAGACCATCACCAAGCAGCTTGGTGAGAAGGTGACAACAGTTGGTGCGATTATTCGCAAATGGAAGAAACACAAAATAACTGTCAATCTCCCTCGGCCTGGGATCCATGCAAGATCTCACCTCGTGGAGTTGCAATGATCATGAGAACGGTGAGGAATCAGCCCAGAACTACACGGGAGGATCTTGTCAATGATCTCAAGGCAGCTGGGACCATAGTCACCAAGAAAACAATTGGTAACACACTACGCCGTGAAGGACTGAAATCCTGCAGCGCCCGCAAGGTCCCCCTGCTCAAGAAAGCACATATACAGGCCCGTCTGAAGTTTGCCAATGAACATCTGAATGATTCAGAGAACTGGGTGAAAGTGTTGTGGTCAGATGAGACCAAAATGGAGCTCTTTGGCATCAACTCAACTCGCCGTGTTTGGAGGAGGAGGAATGCTGCCTATGACCCCAAGAACACCATCCCCACCGTCAAACATGGAGGTGGAAACATTATGCTTTGGGGGTGTTTTTCTGCTAAGGGGACAGGACAACTTCACCGCATCAAAGGGACAATGGACGGGGCCATGTACTGTCAAATCATGGGTGAGAACCTCCTTCCCTAAGCCAGGGCATTGAAAATGGGTCGTGGATGGGTATTCCAGCATGACAATGACCCAAAACACACGGCCAAGGCAACAAAGGAGTGGCTCAAGAAGAAGCACATTAAGGTCCTGGAGTGGCCTTGCCAGTCTCCAGACCTTAATCCCATAGAAAATCTGTGGAGGGAGCTGAAGGTTCGAGTTGCCAAACGTCAGCCTCGAAACCTTAATGACTTGGAGAATATCTGTAAAGAGGAGTGGGACAAAATCCCTCCTGAGTCCTGAAATGTGTGCAAACCTGGTGGCCAACTACAAGAAACGTCTGACCTCTGTGATTGCCAACAAGGGTTTTGCCACCAAGTACTAAGTCATGTTTTGCAGAGGGGTCAAATACTTATTTCCCTCATTAAAATGCAAATCAATTTATAACATTTTTGACATGCGTTCTTCTGGATTTTTTTATTTTTATTCTGTCTCTCACTGTTCAAATAAACCTACCATTAAAATTATAGACTGATCATTTCTTTGTCAGTGGGCAAACGTACAAAATCAGCAGGGGATCAAATACTTTTTTCCCCTCACTGTATGGTACAGTGTAGTACTATATAACTACACTTTACCTGCATGTAGTGCATATGCATTAGCTACTGTAATGTGGAACAATGTTTTCTTTATTTTTACTATTTTCTACATGGTAGAATAATAGTGAAGACATCTTAACTATGAAATAACACATATGGAATCATGTAGTAACCAAAATAGTGTTAAATCAAAATATATTTTATATTTGAGATTCTTCAAAGTAGCCACAGCTTTGCACACTCTTGGCATTCTCTCAACCTGCTTCATGAGGTAGTCAACTGGAATGCATTTCAATTAACAGGTATGCCTTCTTAAAAGTTAATTTGTGGAATTTCTGTCCTTCTTAATGCGTTTGAGCCAATCAGTTGTGTTGTGACGAGGTAGGGGGGTATACAGAAGATAGCCCTATTTGGTAAAAGACCAAGTTCATATTATGGCAAGAACAGCTCAAATAAGCAAAGCAAAACGACAGTCCATCATTACTTTAAGACATGAAGGTCAGTCAATCTGGAGTTCAGTCGCAAAAACCATCAAGCGCTATGATGAAACTGGCTCTCATGAGGACTGCCAAAGGAAAGGAAGACCCAGAGTTACCTCTGCTGCAGAGGATAAGTTCATTAGAGTTAACTGCACCTCAGATTGCAGCCCAAATAAATGCTTCACAGAGTTCAAGTAACAGACACATCTCAACATCAACTGTTCAGAGGAGACTGTGTGAATCAGGCCTTCATGGTCGAATTGCTGCAAAGAAACCACTACTAAAGGACACCAATAATAAGAAGAGACTTGCTTGGGCCAAGAAACACGAGCAATGGACATTTGACCGGTGGAAATCTGTCAAATTTGAGATTTATGGTTCCAACCGCTGTGTCTTTGTGAGACACAGAGTAGGTTAACGGCTGATCTCTGCATGTGTGGTTCCCACCGTGAAGCATGGAGGAGGTGGTGTGATGGTGCTTTGCTGGTGACAGTTTTCTACATTGTTTAACACTTTTTTGGTTACTACATGATTCCATATGTGTTACTTCATAGTTTTGATGTCTTCACTATTATTCTACAATGTAGAAAACATTAAAAATAAAGAAAAACACTTGAATGAGTAGGTGTGTCCAAACTGTACATCTGTACATTGTGATCTGCTCCAGGGTTAGAGCTGGCTCCTCTTGGATTCAAGAATCGCAAAGGATTATTTGTGTTGCAGGCCTCAGAAACCACAATGCTGTGATTTGGAATATAAATACAAATCATTCACCATTAGATTGGTCTTCAAGTTGTCCCTGGAGCTGGCTTGTTTGTGGACCACAGTTTGGGAAACACTTCTGCTTCATAGATGTATGATGTATTTATATCTAAGTGTGAATTATTTCCCAAAGAAGCTCTGTCATCTAGTGAACCTGAGCCAAATGTGCATGGCTTCCAGCCAAGACACTCCAGTGATAGGTTCTAGCATTTGCATCATTAGATTCAGGCAATGGACAACTGAGGTTAAAATGGCAGTTGATCATGGCTACAGACACTAGGCTGCAGGGATAGTGAGTCAGTCAACTCTACAATATGTCATTAAATTGAGTGAAGCCCAAACTGTAAGCCAATTGGAATTGCACTGCACAGCTGCGGTCAGGCGGCTATGATATAAATCAAAAAGATCTGAAACACTTCTAATATCACTGGATTCCAACCACTGGAAGTGGGAATTGAGGGACCCAAATGTGGATTTTAGTATCTCTTTCAGGAATTTCCCTTTGCATGTTGAAACATCTCAATTTGCTGTAAAACAAACTCCTGAATCCTGCTTACTGTATTTGAAAGCCACAATGACTCACAGGCACCCCGCCATACCAAATAAATGTTGCAACGGTAACCTTTAAACCTTAAAATAAAAAAGAAATATATTTTTGAAACAGTGTAGAAATATGAACCAGAACACAATTACACAATTCAATTTGGACATCAAATCGTTATTCTAAAGTACTGAACATTAATAGCCATTCACTAAATATTCAGAATTCCGAATAACGAATTTACTCATGGAAATTACATATTATATGCAATTGATTTTCTGGCTAATAGTAAGGCCATCAACAGTCCTGATTGATATTTCGCAGAGCTTCTCAAGGGAAACCATAGTTTTTTTTGCTGCCATTTTTTTGATTGTCACAATGATTTTGCAATTTGGAAGCTCAAAAATGGTGCGCATAAAAACAAGAAAATAAAGAAAATTAGAAAATAATAAAACACAAAATTACAATCTTGGTCCTCTTGATCACATAACCAAATAAACATTGATAGAGAAAACTCAAATTGTTTTATAAGGGCACACGAAGAGACAAATATTTCCTGAGAGTGAAACTCTGTGATGTCATGACTGGATTGGTCTCTGGCAGGGCGGGGCTTGGAAGTAGAGAAGTTTGCGTAGAAAGTTAAAGGAACCAGGCATCTGTTTGTAGAGGCCTTTGGCTGAGTTCTGTGAAACTTCATGGTTTACCTGAACACAAACACAAACAACATTGAAAGCTTCATATGAGAATATACTTTAGTATCGTTAAAAGTAAATACAGCTGTATTTTAAAAGACGACAAACTCACTATCATTAACATGGTGACCAGGTCATCAGTGGCAGCATTCTCTTCTAAGATGTTATCCAGTGTCTCTACATACCAGGAGCCAGCCTGGGTATCTCTCCAGGAGACGTAACCTGTACAAGTCACACGACAAACAGCCATCAGGGCGACAGACACACTAACGACACTTTCTGGGATTGATAACCACAAAGATGTATTGTATTTGACAGAAACACACAAACATGCACATAAACCCCCCCTCCACACACACACACACCTGGGAACGTGGAGTAGGACACCAGTATGTCGCTGGGTGTGGGCAGTGTGGCCCTAGCGTCTGGCTCATCAGACTGAGTGCTCAGAGAGTCACTGCTGGAGGACATAGGCATGGCGTCTGTCTGGTCACCTGTTCCTCCAATACAAGTCCTCGCCTCATCAGGAGACACCTCAAAGCCCGTGTCTCTCTCACCTGCCAGACCACAATGTGCAAAACATTATACCAATTATAACAAATGACTCCAGCCGCTCTAGGTTTCTCAAACGAGAATCCCGTGTGATGACGGGCAGAGCGAGACTAGTTCCACTACCCCCCAAATACTTCATCCACTGTCAGAGATGTAACCCAGTGTACAGACTATTATTACAACACCTTCATAACATTGTTGTTACTGTGCTGCATAACCAGTACTAAGTTATAACTAAGCATAAGCCACTATTATAGCTAGTGAAGTTGTCTTACCTCCCCCACAGGCCTGGATGAAGAAGATCTTGGGCTTGCCCTGTAGGGAAGGGCAGTTCTGACCGTTCAGGTAGTTGGTAATGTGCTGAACTGGGACATTGGGCCCGTCCACTCCATGCACTGCACCAGGGAAGCGATTGTGACCCACCTGAAAATATGCAATGAAATGGAATAACCTTATTAATCTCCTGAAAGACAAAAATGCCTAATCTTTCTATGCATTTGTAAAAGGATAGAAAGAGTCTTACCTCTGTTCCATGTGATAACATGATCACCACACAGCAGTCATACTGTGAATGATCCACCTTGGACAAAGCCAATAGCTCCTGTCTTATTTGCTGAAATATAGTGATTCATGTAAGGATTGGATCACTTGGCCAGTTAAACATGAATATTTATAAACTAAACTAGTAGGCTAAACAGGAAGGTAGCTGAGGACATCCTCACCTTTTGTTTCAGGTTTCTCTTGACAAGAACAATAAAGTTCAGAGATCTGAATCTTCTTTCCAGTTTGTCACAGTCTATGTTGGACCCTGTGCGGTTACTCAGCTCCGACTTAGGCTCAAAATCGACATTGTTTATGATCAGGCAGTTTCCACAGGGGTTGGCATCCATCTTATAACTCTGAGAGAATATAAAAGTAAAGCATGCAATGATTCCACAGTATATCCAAACAATCAAGTTGGACTCAAATTTAGACTTGTTGCAATCTTGACGAGGCAAGATACAGAGTATGTGGAAATATCACATTTACATAAGTATTCAGACCCTTTACTCAGTACTTTGTTGAAGCACCTTTGTCAGCAATTACAGACTTGAGTCTTCTTGGGTATGACGCTACAAGCTTGGCATACCTGTATTTGGGGAATTTCTACCCATTCTTCTCTGCAGATCCTCTCAAGCTCTGTCAGATTGGATGGGGAGCGTCGCTGCACAGCTATTTTCAGGTCTCTCCAGAGATGGTCGATTGGGTTCATGTCCGGGCTTTGCCTGGGCCACTCAAGGACATTCAGAGACTTGTCCCGAAGCCACTCCTGCGTTGTCTTGGCTGTGTGCTTAGGGTCGTTGTCCTGTTGGAAGGTGAACCTTCACCCCAGTCTGAGGTCCTGAGCATTCTGGAGCAGGTTTTCATCAAGGATCTCTCTGTATTTTGCTCTGTTCATATTTCCCTCAATCCTGACTAGTCTCCCAGTCCCTGCCACTGAAAAACATCCCCACAGCATGATGCTGCCACCAACATGTTTCACCGTAGGGATGGTATTGGCCAGGTGATGAGCGGTGCCTGGTTTCTTCCAGATTTGCATTCAGGCCAAAGAGTTCAATCTTGGTTTCATCAGACCAGAGAATCTTGTTTCTCATGGTCTGAGAGTCCTTTAGGTGCCTTTTGGCAAACTCCAAGGGGGCTGTCATGTGCCTTTCACTGAGGAGTGGCTTCCGTTTGGCCACTCTACCATAAAGGCCTGATTGGTGGAGTGCTGCAGAGATGGTTGTCCTTCTGGAAGGTTCTCCCATCTCCAAATAGGAACTTTGGAGCTCTGTTAGAGTGACCATCGGGTTCTTGGTCACCTTCCTGACCAAGGCCCTTCTCCCCCGATTGCTCAGTTTGGCCAGGCGGCCAGCTACAGGAAGACTCTTGGTGGTTCCAAAATTCTTCCATTTAAGAATGATGGAGGGCACTGTGTTCTTGTGGACCTTCAATGCTGCAGACATTTTTTGGTACCCTTCCCCAGATCTGTACCTCGACACAATCCTGTCTCGGAGCTCTACGGACAATTTCTTCGACCTCATGGTTTGGTTTTTGCTCTGACATGCACTGTCAACTCTGGAACCTTATATAGACAGGTGTGTGCCTTTCGAAATCATGTCCAATCAATTGAATTTACCACAGGTGGACTCCAAACAAGTTGTAGAAACATCTCAAGGATGATCAATGGAAACAGGATGTACCTGAGCTCAATTTCGAGTCTCATAGCAAAGGATCTGAATACTTACGTAAATAAGGCATTTCTGTTTTTCATTTTTAAAATTTCTAAAAACCTGTTTTCGCTTTGACATTATGGGGTATTGTGTGTAGATTGATGAGGAAAATGTTTTATTTAATCCATTTTAGAATAAGGCTGTAACATATCAAAATGTGGGAAAAGGGAAGGGGTCTGAATACTTTCCGAATGCACTATTATGTGTTATATTATAAGTTCAATTAAACAGAACTGAGATACAACAATTCCTTTAGAGAGTACTGTCAATAACCACAATGGGGAACTGATGCTTCATTTAGCCTACAGTAAATAGAACCAAGTGGCAAGATAACTTACCTGAATACTGTCACGTCTAACTCTTCCTGTTGCCCTGGGTTTTCCAAACTCCCTTTCAGGGGCTGTAATAAGCATGTAATAAACACGCAATAAACATCACCACATTTATACTTGAATATGCAGACTATGTCAAATTGCTTACAGAAAATTGATGTGAACACTTACATGGACTAGGAGTGGTGGGCATAGGCTTCACTGATTGAGTTGGATAAACAGGGGTTACCACGTGAACAGGCTTGTCAGTGTCCATAGGGGAGTCTGTCAAAATAGAGCAGTCCAGAGCAAATATGAGAATTTCAGCAGTATGGACCGATATTGTAATGAATGACCACACAGGCCTACTCACAAACTGGCAAAGGCCTAACGACTGGCCGGACATGGACAGGCTGAGGTAGAGGCTGGTTCTGTGGTTCTCCATCCAGTAGGAGCTCTGCTAAGCTATGCTGCCCTGTCTCATGAAGGCAATCTATTAAAGCTGGGAACGCCTGACTCCCGCGGGTCTCCAGGTCTCGAACCAACTGTCTGGCCTGGTCTCGTCTGATCCCTGAGCTCTGAAATAGAGGAACAAGGCATAGTCCCGTGTAGCTCAGTTGTTAGAGCATGGCATTTGCAACGCCAGGGTTGTGGGTTCGATTCCCACGGGGGGCCAGTATGAAAATGTATGCACTCACTAACTGTAAGTCACCCTGGATAAGAGCGTCTGCTAAATGACTAAAATGTAAAAAAAAAAAAAATGCTTTTGAGAACTGAAACAGTGGCATATGATGCATGGTAAGAATTCAGGTAGCCTGTTCATAGTCTCACACACCAGACTTCGCTGTGCGTAACAGCATGGGATGAGAATAGCCTAATCATGATGATGTTTATCATGAATCGGGATTCTTGCAAAACAGACAATAATAGTCAAGAAGAATACCATCACACCCTACCTTTATCTCGTCGATCATGTCTTGAGTAAATATTCCTTTTGACAGAAGTCCATCATACATATCTGATGGGTCCAGGTCTCTCACGAGATTGACCCTATTGCGTTGGAGAATCCTTTTGTGTCTTTCCTCCATTGTGTAGGCTTAGGCTTTATGAAGCATGGAACAGGAGATCTGCAATGATTCTTTGGCAGAGAAGAGAAATGACCAAATCAGTTTACAATAAGTCTTCTTAAACGTATGTATTTACAAAGACTGTCCCAGTACTACAAAATATAAATAATCAATACAAACAGCAAACAGTCAGAGAAGAAGAAGATTACTTTATTGTCCAATCGTACACAAGGTTGAACGGAACCCCTTTATCCCAACCCCTTCAAAAGACACACATACATACACAGGTTGGAGTGGAGAGGTTAGCGCAGACGGCGGGGGACCCATGCAGCAGCTGTGATATTGGATTTCGATACTGCAAACTCACTTTCCGCTTATTTTTCCCACGGCAGACCCAATATTTGAACTGGCTGACTCGCGAAAAACTGTGGAAATGTACCTGCCTAGCCATAACCATCTAAAAAATTACATGTTATTGAAACGACGTCAACCACAGAGGGCTACACAGAAGTCCTGAGTTTCAAACTAATAAAAAATGTTTATACAGTTGTCAGAAATGGAAATAAATAGAATACACAAACTATTATGACAAGCAGTGGGGATAAATATATATATATTTTACCAGCTCCGTGTGATCACACCCCCACTCTTCTCTTGTTTTTTTTTCACCAACTACTTCCTTGTTTAAATCACACTTCCTCGTGATTGGTGGATTGTAAAAGACTGCAACTCCCACAATGCTTTTGGCGTCTCTGGTCTCCCCTTCACACTCACTGGATGCAGTCCCAGCAGGTTATCATTTACGGAGGAGAGAGATAACATTAGAGAGCTCGGATGATGCTACAAATGACCCATTTTCAATGCTTTTCCTTCGCAGATAAGCAGTGACAGAGAAAAAGTTGAGGAATGTGGCAGAAGAACAGTTGATCTAGACAGATTATTGAGGTGCCTGCATGGTGTTCAACAAGCTAACCTGGATAGCTAGCTAACTAGCTAGCTAGCACTCTATTCTAAATTGATTGCAAAGCAAGGTGGTGAATTCAAGTCAATGGCAATTTAATGCATTTGTTCTGTTTTGTATCTTACATACGGCAATTATAATGGTATTGCCCGCTAAAGGCTGTGTTTAGACGGTTAGCTTGTTGGGCTTGTATATGTTTCAAGGGATGCCCTTGCTTTGGCATTCAAATCTTCCTTTTATCAATGCAGATTAATTTTCCAACACATCCCGTCAGACAGATGTGTTTACTCTGACTGTTGTTGTTGTTGCTTTCCCGACAGAGAACATGGCAAGAAGAACAAGGATGTGTTTGACATTTCCTGGTATAGTGGTTGTCTGTCTGCTTCTTCAGGTTGGCTTAGTGGAGACAGCCAATGAAGTAGACCCATACAAGATTCTTGGAGTGACCAAAAGTGCAAGCCAAACTGAAATCAAAAAAGTGTACAAGCGCCTAGCTAGGGAATGGTAAGAACATTACTTACCCTTTCTGTTCTGGGTGTCAGGACTCAGTGGATATATTTAGCACTAGACTATTGACTGTTTACAAAAATGAATGGCCCATTGATGCATTGTCTTTCCTTTATTTCTGTAAGGCATCCTGATAAAAACAAAAATGAAGGCGCTGAAGATATGTTCATCAAGATTACCAAATCTTATGAGGTAAGAGTGTATCCAATATTCGCCAGCATAAAAACTTCAGCATCCTATTGTTACTTTCTTTTTACTTTAGTTTATTTAGTAAATATGTTCTTAACTCTTATTTTTCTTAACTGTATTGTTGGTTAAAGGCTTGTAAATAAGCATTTCACAGTAAGGTCTACACCTGTTGTATTCGGCGCATGTGACAAATGAAATTTGATTTGAAATGCATTATTCAGAAGGGAATGCTCCACCCTCTGGTAACAATATCCATGTGCTTTCTACCCAAACTTTTAAGATCTTATCCAACGAGGAGAAAAGGGCCAACTATGACCGGTATGGACAGACTGATGACACCCAGCCGTATGGTCATGGTCACTACGGTCATGGTCACGACCAATTCTACTTTGACGAGTCCTTCTTCCACTTCCCCTTCAGCAACAAGGGCAGCCAGGAGTTTGCTGACAGCAAGTACGCTCTGCACTTCAACCAGTATGTGAATGACGTGGTGCCTGACAGCTTCAAGAGACCGTACCTGATCAAAATCACCTCTGACTGGTGCTTCAGCTGCATCCACATTGAGCCGGTCTGGAAAGAGGTTGTGCTGGAGCTGGAGGCCTTGGGTAGGAAATGATGAAATGCATTACACAAATGAAAGTTAGTCAACAACTTCACCGTCCACATGACATAATATTACGTTCTAGTAATTTAGCAGACGCTCTTATCCAGAGCGACAAAATAACCATAGTGAGTCTTTGTATGGCTGATTATGTGTACAACTGGTGTGTTAGGTGTGGGGATTGGTGTGGTGGACGTTGGTTATGAGAGACGTCTGGCAAATCACCTCGGAGCTCACCGCACCCCGTCCATACTCGGGGTCATCAACGGGAAAGTGACCTTCTTCCACTACGCTGTGGTGAAGGAGCACCTGAGGCAGTTTGTGGAGGACCTGCTCCCTCAGAGACTGGTTGAGAAGGTAAACAACACAACAGCAACAACATGATTTGGCACATTCATTTTTTGTCTCTTTTTCTGACTCACCATTGTTGGCATCTCAGCATTTTTTTTTTTTTTGTGTGTTTCAGGTTACAGACAGGAACGACCTTCAATTCCTGAACAGCTGGCATGAGCAGAACAAGCCGCACGTGCTTCTGTTTGACCAAGTGCCTGTAGTCCCGCTCTTGTACAAGGTAAGCCATTGTCTAGACTAGTCAGTCTGGCATCAGTTTAAACCAGCACTGAGAGAGCTGGTCTGACTAACACTTATTTACTTCCTCCTGGAGCATAGGTAATCCACAACTGCTTTCTAATACTTGCTTACTGTTTTTTTTCTCATCTTCCGTAGCTGACTGCGTTCACCTATAAGGATTATGTTCAGTTTGGGTACGTGGACCAGGGTCTCTCAGAGACTGCCAACCTACTGAAACAGTTCAACATTAACACCTACGCCCCCACCATGCTGGTCTTTAAGGAGAGTACAGACAAGCCTGCAGACATTATACAGGTAGGTACTAGACAGTTAACTAGACTTGACTACTATTCCACCAGACAGTTTGATTGAATAGTTAAATAGCATTTGAATACCCAAGTAGTATCTGGGGTGTCTGTATTACTGATGTATTATCGATTATATTTAGAGATGCTATTTTTGTTTAGGTGACAACTGTTAATTGAGCCGATTAGATACACGGCATTTCATTAATATCTCCATGTGGTTGTTCTCCTCTTCTAGGCTAAAGGGATGAAAAAACAAATAATTGATGAATTCATATTGAACAACAAGTTTCTCCTCGTCCCTCGACTGGTGAACCAGAAACTGTTTGATGAGCTTTGTCCTGTGAAGCAGTTCCACCGACGCAGGAAGTAAGATACTGAAGCCTTTTGTTTCCTTTTGTGAACATACAATTTATTTGTGAACATACCATTTCTGAACAGCCAGGTGATATGATTGATTATTTTAAAATTATTTTACTTCTATAATTGAGGTATACACATTTGCGTGTCACTGTAGAAAATTCTGGACACTCTAAAGGTTTTAGTGCTGGAGTACGAACGCTAATGTCCCCAAACATCTGTCTTCCAGGTACTGTGTCCTGCTTATCACTGGTGATGAGGAGTCCCATACTATAGGAAACCAGGCCTTCCTCTCATTTGCCTCAACCAACACTAAGGAGGTGGTGAGATTTGCCTATGTCTACCAAAGACTGCAACAACCACTTTGTGATACTCTGCTGAAGACCAAGGACAGTACACCACCACCACAGGTACAATTGGATAAAAGCGTCAGCTAAATGGCATATTATTATTATTATTATTATTAATTATGCCATGTTAATTATTAACTTTGTTAATGTGCTCTCCTTGGATGTTTTGGAGAGCTTCTGGTAGAAGTGTCTGTATAATGAGCTACAAACACCTCTCTGTATTATACTTTATGAAAATGTAAAAACACCTTTCCCCAAAACTATAAGCTCATGTGGAAGTGTGTGCCTGCAGGTGTTCATCCTGGAGCGTCGTAACGCAGCAGGGAAGGTCCTGTACAAGGAGGTGGCGGGCGGTTGGAATGGAACCGATAAGAATAAACAAGGTCTGTTGGATGAGCTGGAGAGGCTGCAGAAAGACCCATCCATCCTCAACTACGACGCCATGCTGCCGGAGCTCAACAATGAGTTTGCCTCTGTGAGTTGTGTTCCTCACTACTGAAAAGTACTGTATCTAAAAGAAGAGGGCTGCCCTACTTTATCATCTCTGAAGGACAAAGATAATGATGTGGTAATTAGTACTGTGTCCAGAAATAATATACTTGTTGGAATGTTATTTTTGTAGGATTCCAAACCTGCAATGGTTTTTCATTTTTATGATAGGTAATACAGTATAATCATGTATGTTAAGTGTGTTGTTCACCAGTTAATGACTAGGCAGTAAATGTTGTTTTAAATTCCAGATGTTTCTCATTCGATGGATCTATACAGCTTATGATTACCTCACTGAAATCATTGATGATATTCTTCACAATAATTGGTAAGTTAACATCTAGAATAGGAGTGAGGTAACAACATACGGAGATGTGGACATAATAAATGGCTCATGCCAATTCAGCTGATTTGTAAAAATAATGATTGTTCTTCAGTTGTTTACTTGATGTTGTAGTCAATAACTGCTAATAACAGTGTTATAATCAAGATTAGTGTTAACACAGTTTGTCATTAGCCGCCCTTGTATTTAGATATGTCTGTAATATGTTTCTGCAGGCGTGAGATGATGCCCCTCCTGTCGTTGATATTCTCTGCCTTATTCATCCTGTTTGGAACTGTAGTGGTTCAGGCTTTCAGGTAAGATGGATAACCAGTGATTCTGCGACTCAAACGTATTACCTTGGGGGAAACTGCTTGTTCAGACTTATCGTTCTGCTTTGTGTGATTTCAGTGACTCTAGTGAAGACGGCAAATCCAAACCGAAGGCAAAAGACGGAACTAAGGCAGAAAATGGATCACCGGGTAGCAGCAGCACCTCAAGGCAAGACATTTTAACATTTACATTTACATTTAAGTCATTTAGCAGACGCTCTTATCCAGAGCGACTTACAGTTAGTGAATACATATTTTTTTATGCTGGCCCCCCATGGGAATCGAACCCACAACCCTGGCGTTGCAAACGCCATGCTCTATCAACTGAGCTACATCCCTGCCGGCCATTCCCTCCCCTACCCTGGACAACGCTGGGCCAATTGTGCGCCGCCCATGAGTCTCCCGGTCGCGGCCGGCTGCGACAGAGCCTGGATTCGAACCAGGATCTCTAGTGGCACAGTTAGCACTGCGATGCAGTGCCTTAGACCACTGCGCCACTCAGGAGTACAAGCTTCAGTGAAAAGATTCAAGCGGTGACTTAAATACTGTTTTGTTTTAACTATCTGACATATTTGAGGGATTATATTTAGCTTTTCAGTGATGTCAATGCAATAAATAAAATTGAGTGGTTCTATGCTTATCATGTTTTTATCATTTATAGTCGCCCACCGAAGAAGAACTTTGTGGAGGTGACGGAGCTGACCGACATCACCTACACCAGTAACCTGGTGAAGCTGAGACCAGGCCACATGAACGTGGTGCTGGTGCTCACTGACGCCTCCAAGAACGTCCTGCTCAGCAAGTTCGCCAAAGAGGTCTACTCTTTCACCGGGTGAGTGCATGATCCCACATGGTCTGGTGTTTGAGCTGCAATGCACGTAGTAGTTATATCATATAACTGTATATAAAATAACATTTTACTATATGATTAAGCAATAAGGCCTGAGGGGATGTGGATATGGCCAATATACCACGGCTAAAAGCCATTGCGGAGCCTCAAGGCATGCAGAGGCCAAATTGAGCACCGTACCGCATCGCCGTGCGCATCCCAAATGTTGTAACAATGTGTAGGGCACCGTATAGCTCCGTGTTGACATGATTGGTTGACGGTAGGTGGGGGCGGGAGGTCCTGTATAAACACAAACTCACTTCCTTGACAACTGCCTTCACAAGAGCTCTGTGAAGCGCAAGAAGTATGAATGCCCTGACTTGTGCAGAGGCAGTATCGCAGTAACCAACATATCATATCCTTTGTTTTTGCCCCTAGGAGCCTGACGCTCCACTTTTCCTTCTTGAACGTGGACAAGCACAGTGCATGGATGGAGACGCTGCTGGAGTTCGCCCAGGATGCCATGCAGATAGACGCCGACGAGGACGATGGCGCCCGCCACAAGATAGACTACACGGGCTACGTCCTGGCGCTCAACGGCCATAAGAAGTATCTCTGCCTCTTCAGGCCTGTCTACACCGGGGAGGAAGGGGGGTCCTCCGAGGAGGAAGGACCCAGGGGTGCCACTGGGGGAGGGAGAAAGTCTAGGTCTGGGTCCAGAGAGGACAACCCACCACGCAGGTCTACACCCAGGTCCCGCTCCACTGCCACACTGCAGATCCACCACAAACTGGACCGCCTGGGGCTGTGGATGGAGAGGCTGATAGAGGGAACCCTTCCCAGGTACTACATCCCTGGCTGGCCTGGCCTGGACAAGATCACCGCCCCCAAATAGGGGGGAAGATAACAGGACTCCTAACGAAAATCCTGATTTGCGGACAAAACTTTTGTGAGGTTTGAAATGAATTGCATGCACACATCCTAAGTCAGGATTCAGGCCTACATGGACATGTACCAAAGCTACAGTTGAAGTCGGAAGTTTACATACACTTAGGTTGGAGTCATTAAAAATCGTTTTTCAACCACTCCACAAATTTCTTGTTAACAAACTATAGCGTTGGCAAGTCGGTTAGGACATCTACTTTGTGACATCTAACAATTGTTTACAGACAGATTATTTCACTTATAATTCACTGTATCACAATTCCAGTAGGTCAGAAGTTTACATACACTAAGTTGACTGTGCCTTTAAACAGCTTGGACAATTCCAGAAAATTATGTCATGGCTTTAGAAGCTTCTGATAGGCTAATTGACATCATTTGAGTCAATTGGAGGTGTACCTGTGGATGTATTTCAAGGCCTACCTTCAAACGCAGTGCCTCTTTGCTTGACATCATGGGAAAATCAAAAGAAATCAGCCAAGACCTCCGAGAAAAAAAAATTGTAGACCTCCACAAGTCTGGTTCATCCTTGGGAGCAATTTCCAAACGCTTGAAAATACCACGTTCATCTGTACAAACAACAGTACGCAAGTATAAACACCATGGGACACGCAGCCATCATACCGATCAGGAAGGAGATGCGTTCTGTCTCCTAGAGATGAACGTACTTTGGTGCGAAAAGTGCAAATCAATCCCAGAACAACATCAAAGGACCTTGTGAAGATGCTGGAGGAAACAGGTACAAAAGTATCTATAACCACAGTAAAATGAGTTCTATATCGACATAACCTGAAAGGCCGCTCAGCAAGGAAGAAGCCACTGCTCCAAAACCGCCATAAAAAAGCCAGACTACGGTTTGCAACTGCACGTGGGGACAAAGATCGTACTTTTTGGAGAAATGTCCTCTGGTCTGATGAAACAAAAATAGAACTGTTTGGCCATAATGACCATCGTTATGTTTGGAGGAAAAATGGGGACGCTTGCAAGCCAAAGAACACCATCCCAACCGTGAAGCATGGGGTTGGCAGCATCATGCTGTGGGGGTGCTTTGCTGCAGGAGGGACTGGTGCACTTCAAAAAATAGATGGCATCATGAGGAAAGGAAATTATGTGAATATATTTAAGCAACATCTCAAGACATCAGTCAGGAAGTTAAAGCTTGGTCGCAAATGGGTCTTCCAAATGGACAATGACCCCAAGCATACTTCCAAAGTTGTGGAAAAATGGCTTAAGGACAACAAAGTCAAGGTATTGGCGTGGCCATCACAAAGCCCTGACCTTAATCCTATAGAAAATGTGTGGGCAGAACTGAAAAAGCGTGTGCGAGCAAGGAGGCCTACAAACCTGACTCAGTTACACCGGCTCTGTCAGGAGGAATGGGCCAAAATTCACCCAACTTATTGTGGGAAGCTTGTGGAAGGCTACCCAAAACGTTTGACCCAAGTTAAACAATTTAAAGGCAATGCTACCAAATACTAATTGAGTTTATGTAAACTTCTGACCCACTGGGAATGTGATAAAAGAAATAAAAGCTGAAATAAATCACTCTACTATTATTCTGACATTTCACATTCTTAAAATAAAGTGGTGATCCTAACTGACCTAAAACAGTGAATTTTTACTAGGATTAAATGTCAGGAATTATGAAAAACAATGTATTTGGCTAAGGTGTATGTAAACTTCTGACTTCAACTGTATCTGTGTCTAAAAGCCAAGATTCCAAGGTGTCCTCATGGCAATGTATTCAGGGGGAGGAGGCTACTGTATGTTTTGAGTGCATGCACTGGGACATGGTTTGCCATCTGCCCTCAAAGCTGTTTGTCTCATGTTCTGCTGGAGTTAGCTAGAGCTGTCTTTTTTGCAGTTTAGGTATTTATTTGTTATGGAAGTACTTTAAAGTAGGATCAGTAGAGGGAGGGTACATAATATGGTGGATCTAAAAGCAACAACCGTTGAACAATTCCTAGATCGCTTTCCCTTTGGGATCCCTTCCTCTGCATGCTGTCATAATAGTTACTTAGTTCTAATATGTGCTGCTGTTACAACGTCTAGATGAGCTAACTGAATCACTGTGTGGTCTCAAGTAGACTCCTGCCTTTTTAAAACCATCATCCATCTTATTCATGTATGTAATCTATCAGATTGTGCTCTGATATTAGCTTCACTGTCTCAATGGTGATTGGTCAGTACTGTGAATAGAGATGCATCTATTTTCTTCATTTTGATCGCACCCAAAAAAATATGTTTCCTGAACTTAGACTTTTATTATTGTGCAATATATACTGTAACTACAATGCCTTCCATTTCCCCTGGCTGCTACTATTTCATGTTCATCCTTATTCATATAGACAGGCTATTATTGAAATATCTACATAACGTTATTCTTGTGCTTTTTGTTACATAACCAATTAATTGCAAGCTTTTTGCATTAGTCTATTTTACTTTTGATTAGATTTTTTACATCACAGACAGTGGCTTCAGTGGGCTCAGTTGGTAAAGCATGGCGCTTGCAACGCCAGGGTTGTGGGTTTGATTCCCACGGGGGACCACTACGAAAAAGTATGAAAAATGTATGCACTCACTACTGTAAGTCGCTCTGGATAAGAGCGTCTGCTAAATGACTAAAATGTATATAGCAATGATATAGTGCATGTTGGAGAACAGACAACATTTCATGTGACATCTATTTTGGAATAGATAAGGGCAGAGCAAATGCAAAGTAAAAAAACAACTTAATTGTGCTTAACCCAATTTATAAGCATTAAACTCTAATATTGTCGTCAAGACAATAATGTAGTTATATTTGGAAATGTAAATGCTGTACATATTCTACCTTGTTATCTGTACATATATTAACATCATACTGTAATACAGTATATATAAAATGAGTTGTTTTTACATGCATTTATTATAATAATGTGGTCATAACATTCATCAATACTGTTGTTTATTCGATTATAAACATGTTTTTGTTACAAAATTACTATACTAATAACCCTGGTACAATGTCTACAAAATAAATTAATCTGATTTGCAGATGTCTTAGAGGTTCTGCTGCAGTGCATATCCCCTTGCTGTGTGTAATAAAGGCTTTATGTTCATATGTTACAGAGACATTCTATTAATTTGTATTTTTCTGTTTTATCAGTCCTTGTTTGGTGTGATATGGTCACACCGGGTGATTAACCTTTGATTACATGTTGAATAAGTTCAGTATAAGTGCTATCCTTTCGATTAAGAATGTGCATAACCACATCACATAATTAGTCATAATATTTTGTCTTTGGAAGGACACACATCATTTCAAAGAGCAGGTTGGCGGCAGTCAGTGCTGTATTGCCTGCAAAAACATAATTTTTTTGTTGTTGAAATGATGCTAAAAGTAAAACAGATTATTCAATGTGACACAAGAGTGCTAAGTACAGTACCTGTGGTGTCATAGGGTGGAGACACCTCCACTAAATCACACCCCACCAGGTTTAGGCCACGGCAGCCCCGGATGATTTCTAGTCCCTGGGTGTCACACACACAAAGAGGAAAACATAACACTGCCCTCTCTGTCAGCAGCTGCCTCCATCTAATATCTGTATTATAACACAGTAACAACTAAATATTCTACCAAATGTCTGTAAAACGACAAAAACAAAGGTATTTCCTTACTTGTATCGGTGTGAGACCTGCTATCTCTGGTGTGCCTGTACCAGGGGCGAAGGCTGGGTCTAAAGCATCGATATCAAAGCTGAGGTAGACTGGACCCGTCCCCATCTGAGTCCTAACCACAGCCATGAGAGGAGCCAGGGACTTGAACCAACACTCCTCCACCTGAACTACACGGAATCCCTACAGAGCACACACACAGAGAGAACACATACACACTTAGGGCACGATTCCCACTTAGGAATGTATGCCTTTCCTACGCACTTCTCAGTAGTTGGTATTCAGACTTACCTTATGAAGGTGCAGGCGTGGTTCCCTTGCACACTGAATAAATATAATTCAACCACTGAAAACCCTCCCACTTGCTGGCGAACAGATTTTCTTGTGGTTTTCATTCAATAGTGTTTTCAGTACATTTATCTTAAGCCATCCCTTTAAATACGGTGTACCTTTAATTAGAATTTTGTCGACAGACTAGAACACATTGAGAGAACGGGTTTAATTAGTCTACATGTCTTTTTTAAATTTATGTTTTATATTATCAACTGTTACTTATTGAGCCCCACAGTGGAGGTGTCATAATACCGATAAAACCTAGCTGCCAAATAGGGAAATGGTTCTAATCGTTTTTCCACCATTCATTTTTTCCATAGGGGATTTTTAGAAACACTTAAAATACGGCCTGTGTTTTGTGTAGGCTTACCCTGGTGTGACGTTTTGATAACCATATAAATCTCTCTTGGCAAGGTGACTTTTATCAATATATGCGGCTCTATTTACTCTCAGATTCAAAAATGCTAAACGGCATCAAAGTAGATGTCATGCAAGACTACAAATCCCTGCAAGCTCCTGCACGTCATCGCTAGCTGACATCTTTGCTAACAGGTATTGTGTCAATTTAAAACTTGCACAAGACAGTTCACAGCATTGTCCATTGAAAGAAATGTAGCCAATGTATTAATTACAAAATGTTGCAAACATTAGATAGTTAATCCAGAGATTTTTACCTTTGCCTCAATTCGGCAGTCTTGTCCAGATCATCATGGCATTTGTCATTCTTTATGATAGCCACATTAGCAGCTAATTAGCGTTTCATTTTGGGGGGGGGTAAATACAGGCGAATATATTGATAAAAGTCACCTTGTCCTAGAGAGATTTACACGGTTACCAAAATATCACGCCAGGGTAAGCCTACACGAAACACAGCCCTTATTTGAAGTGTTTCTAAAATCCTCTATGGGACAAATTAATGGTGGAAAAACGATTTTAACCATTTCCCTGTTTGACCGCTATTTATCATCACTCCATTTGTCTTGTCTTCAATCACACACACCTGGTCTTTATTCCATCCGGATCGCCCTGCTCCGCATCCTCCTTGCCGTCCCCGAGGCCGGGGTCAGCGCGATGCTGGAGCCGCGCGTCGGGGGGTACTGTCACAACTTCCGCTGAGGCTGCCTCCCCTCCTTGTTCGGGCAGGTTTCAGTGTTCGGCGTCACTGGCTTACTAGCTACTGCCGATCCATTTATCATCACGCCATTTGTCTTGTCTTCAATCACACACACCTGGTCCTTATTCCCTCATTAGTCATTGTATAAGTGTTCCCTCTGCTTCCTTGTCTGTGTGGGTGATTGTTATTTGTGGAGGTTAGTGAAGCTCGGTGGAGCCCGTGTATTTTGTATCGACGGGAGATTTCCTGTGTGCCTTGAATTTTCAAGTGCGCCTGTTTTGTGCCCTGGAGTGTGTTTGACGCATTTCTGCGTAAACCTGTATTTTTGCGGATTAAAGCCTGTGTTTCTGTGATTTACCCTCCTGCGCCTGACTTCTTCCACACCACCTCATCACAGAATCACCCACCCGCTATGGAGTCAGCGGGAGATGAGCGCATGCCTGGAGTCGTGGCAAGGGTCCAGGAGCATTCCACGATGCTGGCCAGCTTGGGGGAAGCGAGTCCAGGTAGTCCAACGCCTGGAGAGGAGAGAACCCGATCTGTCAAGACCAGCTGGCCAACCGGATCCAGCCACCTACACCCCAGCACCCGGAGGGATCCAGATATCCCGACCACGGGCTTTTGATGGGACGGCAGCGCTGTGCCAGGGATTCCTCCTCCAATTGGAGCTTTACTTCGCCAGCATCAGGCCGGAACCATCGGAGCGGGAGAAGGTGTCCGTCCTCGTTTCCTGCCTCTGTGGGAAAGCCCTGGAGTGGTCCAACGCAGTGTGGAACGAAGGAGGAGCCGCGTTGGAGGACTACAGGGAGTTCGCTCGCCTCTTTCGGGTGGTTTTCGATCACCCGCCCAAGGGTCGAGAGGCGGGTGAGCGACTGGTCCACCTGAGGCAGGGGACGAGGACCGCGCAGGACTTCGCCTTGGAGTTTCGGACGCTGGCAGTGGGGTCCGGGTGGAACGAGCGGGCCCTGATCGACCAATTCTGGTGCCATCTGCGGGAGGACGTCCGACAGGAGCTAGCCTGCCGGGACACCATGTTGTCCTTCAATAAATTGGTGGACATGGCCATTTGGTTGGACAACCTGCTGGCAGCCAGAGGACGTCCTGGTAGGGGTCTGCCCGTTTCCACCCCGGAGGACTCGGATCCCGAGCGGATGGAGCTGGGTGGAACCGCCAGCCGAGAGAGCGGAGGAGGACAGCGACAGTGCCACTCTGGTGGCACGAAGGGACAGTACATCACACGTCATAGTCAACGTTCTTTTGGGCCTGGAGGCGGCAGGCAGGGCACTCACGCATCACCCCAGGTATCGAACACCCACACTTGTTCAGAGCCCTCTGTTGCGCACTGTACCCTACCTATCTACTTTCACATGGTAGTTCCCCAGTGTAAGGCGCTAGGTCGCAGCTCCCATTACATCTCTGTTGAAGGGTGGGCCGTCCCGGCTCCGCTGGTCTGCTGAGTCTGACCTGGCCTTCAGGAAACTGAGGGGTCTGTTTACCTCAGCCCCGGTACTGGCTCACCCCGATCCATCACTTCCGTTCGTAGTGGAGGTGGATGCGTCCGAGGTAGGGATAGGGGCAGTCCTGTCCCAACGCTCTCTTAGAAGCTCAGCCCAGCGGAGCAGAACTACGACGTTGGTGATTGGGAGCTGTTGGCTGTTGTCCGAGCCTTGACCGTGTGGAGGCATTGGCTCGAAGGGGCGAAACACCCTTTCCTCGTCTGGACGGACCACCGTAACCTGGAGTACATCCGGGCAGCGAGCAGGCATTACACACACATCCATCTCCACCTCAGTGTCCAGCTGGGCTGCGGTACGTACCTGCTCTTATCCGTGATCGTCTAATCTTCTGGGCACACATGTCACCCTCCTCTGGTCACCCAGGTATCGGCCGTACAGTATGCTCCTTGAGCGGAAAGTACTGGTGGCCTACCTTGGCTAAGGACGTGAGGGTGTACGTCTCCTCCTGCTCGGTGTGCGCCCAGAGTAAGGCACTTAGGCACCTCCCAGCGGGTAAGCTACAACCATTATCAGTTCCACAACGACCATGGTCTCATCTTAGTATTGATTTTCTGACTGATCTTCCCCTCTCCCAAGGTAACACCACCATCCTGGTCGTTGTGGACCGCTTCTCCAAGTCCTGCCGCCTCCTTCCTCTGCCCGGTCTCCCCACGGCCCTGTTTACACACGTCTTCCGGCACTACGGGGTACCAGAGGATATAGTGTCTGACCGAGGTCCCCAGTTCACGTCCAAGGTCTGGAAGGCGTTCATGGAACGTCTGGGGGTCTCGGTCAGTCTGACCTCTGGGTTCCACCCCGAGAGTAATGGGCAGGTGGAACGGGTAAAATGCTGCCCACGTTCACCTCCAATGCGCCGTCAGAAGGCCACCGCTGACCGCCACCGCAGTGAGGCCCCCGTCTTTGTACCGGGGGACTGGGTCTGGCTCTCGACCCGGAATCTGCCCCTCCGCCTGCCCTGCCGGAAGCTGAGCCCGCGGTTTGTGGGGCCGTTCAAAGTCCTGAGGAGAGTCAACGAGGTCACTTATAGGATATTACTTCCCCTTATTACCGTATTAACCCCTCGTTTCATATGTCTCACCTCAGGCCGGTGGAACCTGGCCCGCTCCAGGAGTCTGAGGTGCGGGAGGTCCCTCCACCTCCTCTGGACATCGAGGGAGCCCCGGCGTACTCTGTCCGTTCCATCCTGGATTCGAGGCGTCGGGTGGGGGGCCTTCAGTACCTCGTGGAGTGGGAGAGGTACGGTCCGGAGGAACGGTGCTGGGTCCGGGTGAGGGATATCCTCGATCCCTCCATGTTACGGGATTTCCACCGTCGCCATCCGGATCGCCCTGCTCCGCATCCTCCTTGCCGTCCCCGAGGCCGGGGTCAGCGCGATGCTGGAGCCGCGCGTCGGGGGGTACTGTCACAACTTCCGCTGAGGCTGCCTCCCCTCCTTGTTCGGGCAGGTTTCGGCGTTCGGCGTCACTGGCTTACTAGCTACTGCCGATCCATTTATCATCACGCCATTCGTCTTGTCTTCAATCACACACACCTGGTCCTTATTCCATCATTAGTCATTGTATAAGTGTTCCCTCTGCTTCTTTGTCTGTGTGGGTGATTGTTATTTGTGGAAGTTAGTGAAGCTCGGTGGAGCGCGTGTATTTTGTATCGACGGGAGATTTCCCGTGTACCTTGTATTGTCCAGTGCGCCTGTTTTGTGCCCTGGAGTGTGTTTGACACATTTCTGCGTAAACCTGTATTTTTGCAGATTAAAGCCTGTGTTTCTGTGATTTACCCTCCTGCGCCTGACTCCTTCCACACCACCTCATCACAACAGCATTTCATAAACTTTACTGTGGGAAAGTTGATGTTGATATGCTTCAGTTTGCTGCCATAAGACTGGTTTCACATTTGTCTCCAGTGATTCTAAGGTAAAATATATCTAAAACAAGTGTCATTTATATTTACAATTCCCTTATCCAAAATGATTACTCATTTACCTAGCTCTTACCAATTGCTCTTATCAATAGCTCTTATCAAATTGTAAATTACAGTGCATGGAGAATAATGTTATTTCTATAGATTTAAAAAAAGTAGATTGCTTTTTCCACTTGGAACTTGTAGGTTCGCTAGACCTTATTTATGGTTTCCTCGCATGTAAAGGTGGTGGAATTATTAGGGAATTAAGTCAAGGTCAGAATACGGTGTATCTGTAGACACACCCTTGCCACACCTTCAACTCAAGGTCAGAATACACAGAGAACCAAGTGCATAAAAAGAGAAAAACTTTCCATTTACGCGCACTTAACTCAGGTCGGAATCAGCGCCATTGAGAGATAAATTAATAATATATAATGTTTCTTATTTGACCTATTTTTTACTTTTGTGAATGTTTGTGTCGCCCTACGCGAGGACAACCTCTACACACAGTGAAGTGAGTACCTGTGCTCGGCTCCACTCATAGGCATCAGGTGAGTAGCCTGTCCCACGCAGGCCTATCTGGACAACCCTCTTGCAGTCCAGCAGGCCCTCCTCCACACAGCGCCTGAAGGGCGTCCCGTGGCCAATCTTCTCCCCCAGGACCACGTCACTTGTGTCGGCATGAGCATCCACATGGATAAGACCCACAGGGCCGTGTCTGACAAACACAGGACACAAATGTACTGTTTCACGGACATCGATTCAGCCTAGTCCTGTGCCAAAAATTGTGCTGAACAGAGATTCTCCATTGAAAGTGCTTTTTAGTCTAGGACTAAAGGACAAGTTTGTTTTTGTTTTAACCAAATCACAATTTTTTATGTTTACATGGCATGTTATTGAAGTGTCCAGACACTCTTATTGCCATTTCACTTGGTTTTGAGAAAATTACCCTACCAGCGATAGACTACCTCAGCTTAATTCTGCAGTATCGGGGCAGTGACGAAACATGAACAAAGGCTCCAGAAACACCCAAATATGTCATTTTAGAAACGGAAAAGCTCTCAGTATAGCGATGCAGGTCTTTAGATGTTGTACAAATTGTGTCATTGAGCAAATGTACATTCCATTATGTTGGACTTGAGCGATAGTATTCCGTGTGCGACCATGCACGTACTTTCTATCAGCACAATGGGGACTAGAAAACACTTGCATGCTCGCACACCGATAGTGCAGAACGAGCATGAGGAACGAGCATTGTGGGGTACATTTCTCAAAACCAAGTGAAATCGCAAAAAAAGTATCTGGACAATTCTATAACATGCCATCTACATCAAAACTATAGTTTTTTTTTTTTTTTTAAGCGAACCTGTCCTTTAATCTGTCCAGGAAACTGCCACTGAAAGTATTCGTTATTCTAGCATTTGACAAATGTAGGCCTACTGGTACATCACTTACTTCTCAGCAACTGCTTGGAGAATAGGGTATGCTATGGTGTGATCACCACCTGTTAAAAGACCGAATAAAATGTAGCCTATCCAGTTAAACATACACCAAATAGAACTTTAGTGTGTCATGCCAAAACCTTGTAACAGTAACCTTTGTATAAAAATTGTCAGGAAGGTTCATAAGCAGGGCAAAGATTAATCATTCAACATTAGCCTAAATGTGTGACGAGGAGAGAAGAAGAAGCAGGTGTTGTTTTGAGGCACATCTGAAAGGAATAGCGATCACTGCTGAACTGTAGTTAGTAGGCCTTTGCTATAATGTCCAAAATCACTTTCCTCACATCTCAGATTGCATAGTGCAGAAAGTGGTCCTCCTCCTCACCCATAGTAAGGGGGATACAGCCCGTGGCCAGGATTGTACGGTAGGCCTCCCGGATTCGTCTGCAGGTGTCCTTTAGGTCATACACATTGACGTTGACGTCCCCAATATCAGCCACCATCAGAGACTCATAGGGGGCTGCCCGGGTGCCACTGTTGTAGGCCCTCAACATGGCCGACTCTGCTCTGATCTGACGGGGGCCAAATCTGTAAAGGACCATGCATTGTCCTACTTTTAAATAACATTGGTTGTAACAAGCAGAATTAGTTTGACACATTCTCTCAACTGAACAATCACTAGATTTAATTCATAAATTAAATGTGTACATTATACTACAAATATGACTCAATTTATAGAATATAAAAGGTAAAAATGAACATCTACTGCAAATGTGCGAAATGGATTTCAAATAAATTATTCTGCAAATGCTTACAAAGTATAGCCTGCTATGCTCGTACGAGTACAATATTGTACCGCACAGTATTTGCATAGATCAGGCTTTGCAGAAGTAGGCTACCTTGTCCCAGGTCGGTTGGAAGTACCAGTATCGATTGGAACACCAACAAATGCTGCATCAAGTCCATCTGCGGTCTCTTGGTAAGGTAACTTGCCCATTGTAGCAATTCCAGAGACCCTCGCTACAAATTCGGCGCTCGGGGGAACGTTGTAGCGCTTTCCTGAGCAAAGTCGTGCAGGGGTGATACATGGACGTCGCCTGTCGTGTGTCTTGTTGCACACTGCTAAAAATTCTGAAAAGTTATAGGTATTTCTTATACATGACCGCCATAACGTTCCCCGAATGCCAATTCGACTCGTTTTCAAAAGAGACAGCATACTTTCAATAGATATAACCTCGTAGTGTGACTTTTGATTTGAGTTTCTGAACTTCTGGGCTTGTTTTTGCGTTGCGTTTACAGTTCCACAGATCTGTTAAGTACATGGATGGACTCGACAGGCATTTGGCCCGTGTTTTGGCCTATGCTTTCAGCATGTTCATATGATTGGAGATCTGTGCACAACCAGAGCTCTCTGACAGGCAGACACGTTCTAGCAGTAAAAGGGGGTGATGGGAAATGTATTTTATTTATCATGACCAGTAGCCTAGTGTACAATCTTTGCTAGATAACAAAATGCATTATTATTTTGCTATTAATGCTAGGGACTCACGGAAAAACCAAGTTCAAAGACTTAACACTTTATTATAATCTTTGGATAATATGTATTATCCACTACATTCAGTGTTTATTAAAAACATTCTCACAATAAAAAATGTAGCTTCACAAAATGTTTGTTGTCAGGGACAATACTCATTCTGTAATTTTTATAGGACTATATTCTAAATGTCCCATGAATAAAATGCCTTTTAACTAAATTTGAAATACAGTCTGATCTGATATTGCTATTAAATCTGAACTGATATTCTCCTACATAACCGTCTGGAGATAATTAGATGCTTTATAATATCATCCTTGACATACAGTAAATACAGTGACTACTTCACGGTCTTAATCAAATAGAGGCTATGGAATAGTCTATATGAGATGTGATGATTAGGAAAATAGACAAACCAAACAAAGGTGTAAACCTCAAGCATGTCACTGACCAGGTCCAAACCGGACATAAAGTGCAAACAATTCCCAAAATAAATGTCAATCCCCTAACATACGGTGTCTAGTCTTACCATAAAATAAAACGGCCTTATATTTGTTTCCTGAAAGCTCGATACACAGGGGTGGAAATGGGGAGAGAAACATTATATTGGTGGGTTCCCACAACTTCACAGTGACCTTCCACCCCTGACACTAAATTTACCTACATTCAAACTCAATGGGTTAGAGCAGAATTATACCATATATAGACATACACTACCGTTCAAAAGTTTGGGGTCAAAAGCAATTTTTTTTGTCCATTAAAATAACATCAAATTGATCAGAAATACAGTGTAGACATTGTTAATGTTGTAAATGGCTATTGTAGCTGGAAACTGCTGATTTTTAATGGAATATCTACATAGGCTTACAGAGGCCCATTATCAGCAACCATCAGACCTGTGTTCCAATGGCACATTGTGTTTGCTAATCCAAGTTTATCATTTTAAAAAGGCTACTTGATCATTAGAAAACCCTTTTGCAATTATGTTAAAGAAGCAATAAAACTGGCCTTCTTGAGACTAGTTGAGTATCTGGAGCATCAGCAATTGTTGGTTCGATTACAGGATCAAAATGGCCAGAAACAAATAACTTTCTTCTGAAACTCGTCAGTCTATTCTTGTTCTGAGAAATTAAGGCTATTCCATGCGAGAAATTGCCAAGAAACTGAAGATCTCGTACAACACTGTGTACTACTCCCTTCACAGAACAGCGCAAACTGTCTCTAACCAGAATATAAAGAGGAGTGGGAGGCCCTGGTGCACAACTGAGCAAGAGGACAAATACATTAGAGTGTCTAGTTTGAGAAACAGACGCCTCACAGGTCCTCAACTGGCAGCTTCATTAAATAGTACCCGCAAAACACCAGTCTCAACGTCAACAGTGAAGAGGCGACTCTGGGATGCTGACCTTCTAGGCAGAGTTGCAAAGAAAAAGCCATATCTCAGACTGGCCAATAAAAAGAAAAGATTAAGATGGGCAAAAGAACACAGACACTGGACAGAGGAAGATTGGAAAAAAGTGTTATGGACAGACAAATCGAAGTTTGAGGTGTTCGGATTACAAAGAAGAACATTTGTGAGACGCAGACCAAATGAAAAGATGCTGGAGGAGTGCTTGATGCCATCTGTCAAGCATGGTGGAGGCAATGTGATGGTCTGGGGGTACTTTGGTGGTGGTAAAGTGGGAGATTTGTACAGGGTAAAAGGGATCTTGAAGAAGGAAGGCTATCACTCCATTTTGCAACGCCATGCCATACCCTGTGGACGGCGCTTGATTGGAGCCAATTTCCTCCTACAACAGGAAAACAAGGAAATTTCTAAGTGACCCCAAACTTTTGAACGGTAGTGTATATGTCTCTGGGTTAGACTCTGAGAGGACCTAAAGAGACATGATGCTGGCACTGCCCTGTTCTCGTCCGTACATGAGGAAGCTGACAGCCAATCGGAGGTCTTCCAGGTCCAGGTTAGACAGGAAGCACCTCTGTAGGTCCGCCTCCACCGAGCTCCCACTGGGGCTGCAGCCCCTCAGGAGCACCACGGCAGACTGGCACAGCAGCCAATCAGCTAGCTTCTTCATGCCAGCGCTGTCCTGATTGGCAAGGGCACGCCTTCCCCAGAGGCTCAGATGCAGCATGTTGGCAGCAACTCGGGCACTGGGGCGCTGCAGAGAAACAACAATAGGAGCATGGGATTCTCTGACAGTGTACATAATGACTTCCAATACTAATCACCAAGCCCTTACGTAGTGAATGAGTACTGCATAATGAACAACTTTATCTTGTTTATCTCACAAATACTCTCTGAGAAGCCCTGAGAAATTAGAAAATCATTGTTAACATACCCTTCAGTGAAGTGAAGGGCAATATAATCTAATAAAATTCCTTATTAGACTCTGTACCGTATTGGGGTTCCTACGCAGAAGCAGCTTGACGACTAGTTGCATGTCAGCTGAGACACTGGCAGGCAGGGCAGGGAGCTGGATCTCCTGGAAACTCCTGCTGTCCAGTCCACCTGCTCCATAGAATGGGTTGGCCTGGCCAAATATCTCATAAGAAATGGCCCCGACAGCCCATGCATCTGCCTTGCTGTAATCGATGACCACACCCTGCCCAGGAACTGCAGTGACAACCTATAGAGAGATAGAGGTGTATTTTAATCCCAGAATCCAGAAAATGTTTCCATTTATGTTAACCGTCTGTCACAAGAGACTGTGTATTTTAACTTTTATTTCCAAAAAAAGCTTGTATGAATCTTGATTGTGGTTTTCTATTTCTCTGATGATAGGAGCTTACCTCAGGTGCCATCAGGCAGGAGTTACCTCCTCTGTTCACCCACATAGTGTTGAAGGGTAGCTGGAGACTAGAGTCACTCTGAGCCAAGCAGCAGCCGAAGTCTGTGATCACCAGGCGGGGGCAGCCCTCTGCACAATAGAGATGCCAAATGTCAATAGGATTATTCGATTAAAACTAATACGATAAGCATTATTAATGAATTAATTAGTATCACAGGTAATATCTTCATTTGAGTTTGGAGAGAGCAAAAACATCAAGACAGAATTCTAACCATGTCTTTTGTAAATTAATCTCATATTTAACTTTTAAAAAACATGGCAAAGCTTAATGACACTCAGTATACCATGCCTGAGCTTGCCCTGTTGCTCTCTCTCTCTCTGACCTGAGTCAAACTCCAGGAGCACGTTGTCTGACTTAAGGTCCCTGTGAGCGATGCCCTGTCTGTACAGGTGGTCGACCCCCTCTAGCAGCTGCATCACCATCAGAGAGCCCTCTCTCCTGCTGGGCACATTCACCTCCAGGTACTGACGCAGGGTGCATGGGTAACTATGGAAACAGGGGGAGGAAAGATCAGTATACACTAGGTTGGGTGAATATATAACTACTGGGATGGACAAATCTGCACACAAAATGGTCCGGTCCGGTAAAAAACAATTGATTTTTAGTCCAAGAGTTGACTTAATCTGGGGCTGGGACACTGAGATACAGCTGGAGGATGGATGTGGGAGAATTATCCTTACTTCTTCATGACCAGGAACAGAGTACGGTTGTTGCCCAGGCCCTCAGGGTTGAGTCTGGCTGGCAGGACATCAGGGTACTCCTCATAGGCACCGGGTAGAAGGGGTACATCTGCTGTGAACGCCCGGAACACCCTGATCACGTTGGGGTGGGCAGAAACCCTCTTGGGCACTTCCCCAAAATACCTGCAAAACAGACCAATGGAAATAAAACTTGAAATGCACTCTTTTGATGCATGGCAAAACACTCTCAAAATATGTTGGGCTATTCTGTGTCTATTGAAAGTAAGTTGATGCAGTGACTGATTGCTGATACTAACCCGTTTAGTGCAATCTGTTCCTCTTTTTCCTGTTTCATGGCGAGAGGGCCTGCAGGGACCAGCTCCTGGGACATGGATCTCAGAATAGCCTCGCTTGATGAACCAGCCTGCAGGAAAGACAGTCTTATTACTATGCCAATTGCATGCTGAACATAGCCTATATTCTATAGTAATATTTAAAAACCAAAAGTAACAATCACACTCTCCCTGTGCCCCAATAATCTGTCATTTTTTCTGAAGTGTAGATTGGTGTAAGAAAGGGCTAGATGGTTTCCACCAAATGTCTTATACCAGTCCTCTCACTTTAAATCCATGAAGGAAAGTGAACAAGTGCACACTTCTGGAAAAATGGCATTATCTTGACAGACACCAACCCCAAAGTTCCACATCATCTTGACAGCTAGAGGATAGATGCCCAGGGAGCCGGAGGGGCTCCTCAGAGACCCAGTGACCACCTCTCCTTCATCTTCACTGGGCTGGTCCTTTAGCTTCACCAGGGAACACTGGTCACTCTCCCTGTCCCTGGGCACAGCGAATGGAGCCGCAGCTTCATACACTGCAGCGTTGGAGCCTTTCCCTATCTGCTTCCCAATAAGGTAGTCCTCCAGCTTGTATCCCGAGGCAAAGGACTTGAGAGGACTGGGGTACTTCTTCTTGGTAAACACAGCCTTTAGAGAAGAGGTAAAATGTAGGCCTTTTAGATGAAATAACACATTTTTATTAACAACGTTATTAAAATATTATTAGATATGTAATTATTATTATTTTATTTTACTAAATGTCATATTTAAATGAGATATTCCTGTCCAGACTAAAGATAAAAAGTGACGACTCACAAAAGGGCATTTTTTCAACAAATCAATAAAATATTTTACATTGTAGATAGCTAGCACTTGTATATCAATTTGTTGTCAACATCCATGTTGTTTACCTGGATTTCCTGGCATGTCGCAGCACTCCTTCGATCATCCTCGAGCTGTTGTTCGATCAACCCCACACCGAAACCGAAAGCCAAAAACACTACTCTGTTTCTTGGCGAGCCGCTGCCCCCAAACCTCCTGAAACCACCGGACTGCAGCTGCGCTGCAAGACCCCCCAACGACATGCGGAAATATCGGTACCGAACTGGCAGGAAAGTCTGAGGCTGAACGGTTCGGCCCAGTTGGCCTACACGAAGACGCTCACCTCGGAACTTTGCTGCAAGTCGACCAGCAGGTTTGAGGAGACCTAGCTGGATAACCGATCGTCCCAACTCCACCCCACGGTTGATGGCATGTTTTACAGACATGCTTTACCAATAAATGGTCAGTTTCGCGATGTTTTTACTTTCTCCGTCAGTCCTCGTCGTTCATAGCATAACGTTACACAACACAAGGACGAATCGTTATGTCAACAAACTGGAACAGCCACAGAGAACGTGCTTGTTAGTGTCACGTTACGTTCTTTTTTTACTTGACCTGTTTTTAGAATTAAAGAGACAATGCCACAATGACAATGTTACTGGTGTCAGCAAATGATGCAAATAGGCCTAAACACAATCACAACTTTACACAAATGTCCTAAAATATTGTAATATGTGTAATACATCAAAAAGTATTTTCAACATTGATACTTCAAACAAACACTCCCAAATCATACACATACAAATAATAATGTGAATAGGAACTATTACAGACTACAAAGGGAAGCACAGCCGGGAGCTGCACAGTGACACAAGCCTACAAAACCACTTCTATGCTCGCTTCGAGGCAAGCAACACTGAAGCATGCATGAGAGCACCAACTGTTCCGGATGACTATGTGATCACGCTCGCCGTAGCCGATGTGAGGAAGACTTTTAAGCATGTCAACATTCACAAGGCCGCAGGGCCAGACAGATTACCAGGACATGTACTCCGAGCATGTGCTGACCAACTGGCAAGTGTCTTCACTGACATTTTGTCCCTGACTGAGTCTGTAATACCAACATGTTTCAAGCAGACTACCATAGTCCCCGTGCCCAAGGACACTAAGATAACCTGGCTAAATGACTACCATGAAGTGCTTTGAAAGGCTGGTCATGGCTCACATCAACACCATTATCCAAGAAACCCTAGACCCACACCAATTTGCATACCGCCCCAACAGATCCACAGATGATGCAATCTCTATTGCACTCCACACTGCCCTTTCCCACCTGGACAAGAGGAACACCTACGTGAGAATGTTATTCATTGACTACAGCTCAGCGTTCAACACCATAGTGCCCTCAAAGCTCATCACTAAGCTAAGGATCCTGGGACTAAACACCTCCCTCTGCAACTGGATCTTGGACTTCCTGACGGGCCGCCCCCAGGTGGTAAGGGTAGGTAACAACACATCTGCCACGCTGATCCTCAACACGGGGGCCCCTCTGGGGTGCATGCTCAGTCCCCTCCTGTACTCCCTGTTCACCCATGACTGCATGGCCAGACACGACTCCAACACCATCATTAAGTTTGCAGACGACACAACAGTGGTAGGCCTGATCACCGACAACGATGAGACAGCCTATAGGGAGGAGGTCAGAGACCTGGCCATGTGGTGCCAGGATAACAACCTCTCCCTCAACGTGACCAAGACAAAGGAGATGATTGTGGACTACAGGAAAAAAAAGAGAACTGAGCACGCCCCCATTCTCATCGACGGGCTGTAGTGGAACAGGTTGAGAGCTTCAAGTTCCTTGGTGTCCACATCACTAACGAACTATCATGGTCCAAACACACCAAGACAGTCGTGAAGAGGGCACGACAAAGCCTATTCCCCCTCAGGAGACTGAAAAGATTTGGCATGGGTCCTCAGATCCTCAAAAAGTTATACAGCTCACCATAGAGAGCATCCTGACTGGTTGCATCACTGCCTGGTATGGCAACTGCTCGGCCTCCGACCGCAAGGCACTACAGAGGGTAGTGCGTACAGCCCACTACATCACTGGGGCCAAGCTTCCTGCCATCCAGGACCTCTATACCAGGCGGTGTCAGAGGAAGGCCCTCAAAATTGTCAAAGACTCCAGCCACCCTAGTCATAGACTGTTCTCTCTGCTACCACACGGCAAGCGGTACCGGAGCGCCAAGTCTAGGTCCAAAAGGCTTCTCAACAGCTTCTACCCCTAAGCCATAAGACTCCTGAACAGCTAATCATGGCTACCCAGACTATTTGCACTGCCCCCCCACCCCATCTTTTTACGCTGCTGCTACTCTGATAATTATTTATGCATAGTCACTTTAACTCTACCCACATGTACATATTACCTCAACAACCTCAACTAGCCGGTGCCCCCGCACATTTACTCTGCACCGGTACCCCCCTGTATATAGCCTCCCTACTGTTATTTTATTTTACTTCTGCTCTTTTTTGTTATTGTTGTTTTATTTAACTTTTTTATAAAAAAATACATGCATTGTTGGTTAAGGGCTGTAAGTAAGCATTTCACGGTAATGTCTACACCTGTTGTATTCGGTGCATGTTGCAAATACAATTTGATTTGATTTGATTGGATATGAGCTGTGTAGCTCATATCCAATCAATAATTTACTGTATTTCAAACACTTGTTAGAAAATACATTGAGACAGATTTTCCTAATTTCAAAGGCACAGATAGAAGAAAAAAATATCCAATGGCACTATTCAACTAATAAATTGTATAGTCCTATTGGCTGGCAAATTAGCTCATTATCCAGCCCAAAAGTCTAACATTTAACTGACTTGTAATGCCGTTATGACCGATTCTTGTTTTGCCTCTTGTCTTGTGAATACTATTATGACCCATTCTTTGTGGTGAACAATCTGTTTTTCTTCAGGTCTTCGGGCCCAAAGGACACAGGAAGCAGGTCTTCTATATTCATTTCCACGTAAGAACCATCAGGCTTGGAAAGGTAGAAGTACCATTGATCACCTAACTAGAAGGGAAAGGGAAATTGGATTACTTGAGGTTGTTCCATTATAGGTGGATGGCTGTGTGTGAACCAGTACCTGGGTTTGAGGAGACATGATCAATCTCTGACGCACAGGATCCTTTAATTCAAAGTCCCATTAACCAGCTCTGCAAACGTTATAATGTCAAAATACGTTCGGTGGTCACCAAAATATGGAGTTTCGAAGAGCAACTATCGTCAATACTGCCGTTACGCACTGTATGTACTTCGGCGGTGTTGGTGAACACATAATAAGGAGAGGGAGTACAAACCATCGACGCTAGACAGAGAGGAATTTGCTTAATGCAAAAAGGCAGTTTATTAAATCAGAGAGATCTTGTCCTGCTCAAGCTACATGCATGGACCCAATCAATTGCCTCTTATGGAGACAGTTGAGAAGGATGATTAAATAGAGTTTACAGCATTACTTTATACAATGTAACATAAAGGAAGGGGTCCTTCTTCTAGTCCCTTGATTGGTTCCCGAGGCGTAGGAGGCGGGTCTGCTCTGTCCAGAGCAGATGCCCCATTGGTGCACGGCAGAGTCCTCTGCCCTTGGCACCCGACCAGTAGACAGGGGAGTTGAGAATGAGTGTGCGTGCAAATGAAATGTTTGTGTGTGTCCAGGGAACTGCGTGAGGAGGATCTGGTGATTGTGGCCTTGGGCGTGGGTGTTGTCCTGTTATTGCAGTCCTGCAAGACTAGGCCATCTGGTGACAAGATATGGCTGCTCTTCTCTGTCCTTTGTTCGACAACTAACACAACAGCACACTGTTAATATCAGACACATGACAGCGGTCAAAAACAATATATACTTTTTATTTAGACCTTTTTTGGAAGTACATACAGTGCGTAACGGCAGGAATGACGATAGTTGGTCTGCGAAACGCCATATTTAGGTGAGCACTGAAGATATTTTGACATTATAACGTTTGCAGAGCTGGTTAATGGGACTTTGAATTGAAGGATCCTGGTCGTCAGAGGAAATCTCGTCTCCTCAAATTCAGGTACTGGTTCAGGCTGTGTGATGTACCTTTGATTTTAAAACAACCATACATGTTGGTTTCCTGGATTAGACCTTTGTTCCATTGTCAATGGAATCATTCACATATCTAAGTTGTATAAATAATTGATGTACCTCTTTCATGAACTGTCTGCAATCTCCACATGGTGAGATGAACTGGTCTTCCAGGTCACTACAAAATCAATCATGTCATTAACAACGGTCATTTTTAGTACTGTGTGCACCAATATAGTTAGTGTTGACCATAATAGTATAGTATACAACTTTTTTTTGTAATTTCTCTATTAATTATCTACTGAACATTTCAGGAAGACTAAGACACCCCCAATTACTGTTTATCTTAGCATGACTTTGATAGTAGAATGGTTTATAACCATCTACACACTCTGAGGGGAAGCAAAACCCGATTAATTCTATGATGGGTTCATTAATCGACATCTTTAAAAATGTCTGGGTTGTGATTTCAAGCAGAACAGACACAACAGAACAGACACAACCAATACCATTATAATACTGAATCAGAAAGATCCTGTTTGTATCCACTGGCCTGTCTGACTTTATCCTCTGGCCTCTGACTTTATCTTCTGGCCTGTCTGACTTTATCCACTGGCCTGTCTGACTTTATCCTTCTGGTCACTGCTTGACTTTATCTCTGGCCGTCTGACTTTATCACTGGCCTGTCTGACTTTATCCACTGGCCTGTCTGACTTTATCTCTGGCCTGTCTGACTTTATCTTCTGGCCTGTCTGACTTTATCCACTGGCCTGTCTGACTTTATCCTCTGGCCTCTGACTTTATCTTCTGGCCTGTCTGACTTTATCTCTGGCCTGTCTGACTTATCCACTGGCCTGTCTGACTTTATCCTCTGGCCTCTGACTTTATCTTCTGGCCTGTCTGACTTTATCCACTGGCCTGTCTGACTTTATCCACTGGCCTGTCTGACTTTATCCTCTGGCCTCTGACTTTATCTTCTGGCCTGTCTGACTTTATCCACTGGCCTGTCTGACTTTATCCACTGGCCTGTCTGACTTTATCTCTGGCCTCTGACTTTCCTCTGGCCTGTCTGATATATCCCTGGACTGTCTGACTATATGGCCTGTCTGACTTTATCCTCTGGCCTCTGACTTTATCTTCTGGCCTGTCTGACTTTATCCACTGGCCTGTCTGACTTTATCCTCTGGCCTGTCTGACTTTATCTTCTGGCCTGTCTGACTTTATCCACTGGCCTGTCTGACTTTATCCTCTGGCCTCTGACTTTATCTTCTGGCCTGTCTGACTTTATCCTCTGGCCTGTCTGACTTTATCCACTGGCCTGTCTGACTTTATCCACTGGCCTGTCTGACTTTATCCACTGGCCCTGACTTTATCCTCTGGCCTCTGACTTTATCCCTGCCTAGCTGACTTTATCCTCTGGCCTCTGACTTTATCTTCTGGGCCTGTCTGACTTTATCTGACACTGGCCCTGTCTGACTTTATCCTTCTGGCCTCTGACTTTATCTTCTGGCTTTGATATCTGGCTGTCTGACTTTATCCACTGGCCTGTCTGACTTTATCTTCTGGCCTGTCTGACTTTATCTTCTGGCCTCTCTTACTTTATCCACTGGCCTATCTGACTTTATCCTCTGGCCTCTGACTTTATCTTCTGGCCTGTCTGACTTTATCTTCTGGCCTCTCTTACTTTATCCACTGGCCTATCTGACTTTATCCTCTGGCCTGTCTGACTTTATCTTCTGGCCTCTCTTACTTTATCCTCTGGCCTGTCTGACTTTATCCTCTGGCCTCTGACTTTATCTTCTGGCCTGTCTGACTTTATCTTCTGGCCTCTCTTACTTTATCCCCTGGCCTATCTGACTTTATCCTCTGGCCTGTCTGACTTTATCTTCTGGCCTCTCTTACTTTATCCTCTGGCCTGTCTGACTTTATCCTCTGGCCTCTTACTTTATCCTCTGGCCTGTCTGACTTTATCCTCTGGCCTCTTACTTTATCCTCTGGCCTGTCTGACTTTATCCTCTGGCCTCTGACTTTATCTTCTGGCCTGTCAACAAACTTTATAACATTGTCACGGTTTCGGCCGAGGCTGCTCCTCCTCCTGGTTCGGGCAGGCTTCGGCGGTCGTCGTCCCCGGAGTACTAGCTGCCACCGATCTATGTTTCATGTTCGTTTGGTTTTGTCTTGATGTTGTACACCTGTGTCTTGTTAGTCCTCGTTAGTGTCCTATTTAGTTCTCGTTGTGTGTGTTTGTCTTTGTGTGTGATTGCTCTTCTGTTTTGTGTTGGAGCTACGTACTTCCCTCCAGTGTTTTGGAGAGGTTTTTCGCACATGTTAGTGCGCCGTTTGTTTGACGCCTGTGTGCGCCGTTATTTCGCCTTCGGGCTTATTGTGCTTATTTTCTACGTGAATAGTGCACTAAAGTATTTTGGACTGAGCTTCTGCGTCCTGCGCTTGATTCATACACCACACCCACCTTCAGCATCCCTTGACAAACATCAAAGAATGTTCAAATGTATTATATTTTTTATATAATTTTTTTTGGTTTTGTATTTTTCTATTTCCATTCCTTAACAGAACACCATTATATGTTCTTTATTCCATGGTGCATAACATTGTTATAAATTATCATGAATGCACTGTAGTTCTTTCAAGCCACCTGAAGAGTTACAGCAGCATTCAACATACTAAATAAATAAATGGAAGCATTTTATCAGCCCCCAACCCATGTATTATTATTATATTATACCATTATTATATTATTTGAAAGCCCCTCACCTGTAAAAACTGTCCCATCATGTGCCAACAGGGCTGCCCCCATCCGGAACCTACTGTAAGGACAGTAGGCAAACTCTTTAGCCCCCTGGGACTGGTGAATAAGAGGTTTAATCCAATCCTAATTTTCCTCTTCACTCATGTGATTCCTGGCTTCTGTGTCTGCTCCGTCTACCCTTAACTCACCGATCCTGAAGTCTGTCATATCAACCCTTTCTTTGTAAGTGTCTGTGTTGTTCTATTTGTGTCTGTGTGAGAATGTGCATGTATTGAGAGAGAAAGAGAGAGATAAAAGGTGGAAATAGAGAGTGGATGGATTGAAATCTGTACATAACAAGCAGGTTTTTAAGAGCCCCACAGCTCAGATATGGTCTGGGTGGGAGGGGCACTGGCCCGCTCTTTAGGGGAAGCTTAGTGTGTGTAATGACTTTTAAAGAGATCATTACCATATAGGGTTGGGGGGTCAATTCGAACTTCCTAAATTTACTGAATTTAAATGGATTTGACCCCAACCCTGATCATTACTTTACTCTGGCTTATGACTAATTTTAAACAGGGGTTAATTAAATTATAATGGCTCATTCGTATGCTTATGACAAGTCTTACAATGCATTATGCAAATTAATGCATCATGATGCATTATTGATTATACCTGCAGACTTGTACCAAACCTTTATGACTAATAAATTATGATTGATTGATACATGTATGTGCAGTGAGTTTTTTAATTTGTTTTATACACAGTAAGACCTTATACCAAAAAATAACTGCTTTATTGTTATAGAGTGTTTGTCTGATGATTGTTTAATAATTATAATACAAACGTATAATAATAGATTGGGTTTACACAGCATTTTTTTCTCTTTACAACAGAATAACAAAGTAGAATTGTCAATCATGTATGTAGGTTTAATACAAGGTTAATAATCATCAGATTCTTACAACAAAGGTCTCACATACTGCAGAACGACTTCTGACTGAGCATGTGACAATGCTTTACATCTGATATCTGTAAAGATATAATTTAGTCAGTGTCCAAAGCTAACTAAATTAATGAGAAAATGAGGGAGTTGTGGTTTATCGCTATTCCACACAGAATGACATACTGTTGGATCTCTGTGCTACATCCCATACTATTGCTTCTGTGTTTGCCCTCTACTCACAGCCACTGCTCTTGTTCATATGGTTTCAAACTGTGACAAGCAGGAGTGGAATAGTGTAGTCTGTTATTTTACCTCATGTTGATTTATTTCCTTCTATTAAATTCCTTGTGGAACTGTTCTCTTCCCTGCGTGCGCTACCGTTCTGGGATGTTTATCTTGATTCAGTTGTTGGGGTTGTCATTGTTGATGATCCAGTCCATCCATCTGACATACATTCAGTTGTTGGGGTTGTCATTGTTGATGATCCAGTCCATCCATCTGACATACATTCAGTTGTTGGGGTTGTCATTGTTGATGATCCAGTCCATCCATCTGACATACATTCTGACTTGAGTGTAGACTCCTGGGAAGTAAGGGTTGGCACAGCTGATTCCCCATGAGACGATGCCTTCCAAGTTTCCATTGCAGATAAGGGGTCCACCTGAGTCACCCTGTAGAACAATAACACAAAAGACACAATGATGAACAAAAGCTCTGGTCCTTTTGTTAGGGATATACAGTGTGAATACACCCCTCTTATCTGGACAATTTCATGTTAGTTACCACACATTTTACACAACACTGTTTTGTGTCTGTTTTTCTATTCTACGACTAAATTGTCAAATTGTGATGTTTTATTTTATTTTGTCACTTTCTTCTGCCATTGAAATGTTATTGTTGTGATTTTTAAGAATGTCATTTGATCTGGGGACCAGTATCTGATGTCCCTTATCTGACCACATACATTTCCCTAATCCAAACTGTACATCTATCCCATTGGTCTGGCCCAGTTTTAAAGGCCCACACCCTATATTATTCACAGCAGTCTATACCTAAGCTCTTGTGACAGACATAAATATGATTGTGTTTTGCTTTTCATGTTTTGTGTTTGCTTGTCATGTATTGTGTAATTTATGTGTATATAGATAGATATGTATAATGTAATTGTTGTTTATTGATAATTTCATGCAGGGCTATCTAGAACTTAAAATGGTTCTTCAGCTGTCCCCATAGGAGAACCCTTTGAAGAACCCTTTTTGGTTCCAGGTAGAACCCTTTCGCGTTCCATGTATAACCCTTTCCACAGAAGGTTCCTAATGGAACCCAAAAGGGTTCTGCTTGGAACCAAAAAGGATTCTCCTATGGGGACGGCCAAAGAACCCTTTTGGAACCCTTTTTTTTAAGAGTGTTGTCTCAGCATGACTCCCTACGCTAAATAAAGGTTAAGAAAAAAAAGATTTGATTCTGGGTGCTGAGATTAGGCTATTCTTTACCTGACAGGAGTCCTTGCCACCAAAGCGAGACCCAGCGCACATCATGTTGTCTGTGATCCTCCAGTAGTAGTAGTAGTGGCAGTAGGGTATGGTCTGCACATCCACAGCACGCAGCACAGGGGACAGGTAGTAGCTGTAGATACGGGTGACACCCCAGCCGCTCACTGTACAGGGGGTGTACCCTTGGAGAGCAGGGGTGTCCTCTTCTGGCAGTGGGGCAGGCTGAACGTAGGCATTCAGCTTGGCTGGCTCACTGAGCTGGAACACACACAACCACAGAAAAGGCACAAAATCAGATGCTGCTGACCAATCAGGAGGCAGACAATCAGACAGAAGGGATCAAAGGGGGCGGAGTCAATGTTATGGTACAGTGTCTAAGCTGCAGCAGTATCTGAAATTATGCAGTGAGTAGACTAACTGAAATATTCAAACTCATTAACACCATGGATAGGTTCCAATATCTACACTAGCATACCACTTTCCCAAGCTTCATTGTAAGTGGTATGCCTGTGTGGGTATTGAAACACAGCACGTCTCTACCTTATGGTGATGGGATGGATAGTCTTACCTTGATGAGCATGATGTCGTTGTTGAAAGTCTTGTAGTTGTAGCTATAGTGGACAAAGATCTTGGAGATGTTGATCACTTGCTCGAAGCCTTCTTCCTCGACCAGACTGTGCTCACTCAAAACCACCTGGATAAGCTGGGCCCTGAGGAGGAACAGACATGGAGGAACAGACATGATCCAATCTGTCCAGGGGAAGTGGAGAGCATGCATATGGAATTGTTTTAACCTACAACATATTACACTACTATTCCCCACCCCCAAAACATTTACTCAATCAAGCGCGTGCTGGCCCTTTAAATTTTTTGATGTAATTGACTGTTGGCTTCAAGCATCTGTTCATTGTTTTATGCAAGAGGATAGAGTTACAGACCTATATCCATCCTGCCCTGCCTTTCGAATGTTTTTGAAAGCCAAGTTAACAAAAAGATCACAGACCATTTTGAATCACACCGTACCTTCTCCGCTATGCAGTCTGGTTTCCGAGCTGGTCATGGGTGCACCTCAGCCACGCTCAAGGTCCTAAACGATATTATAACCACGATCGATAATAGACAGTACTGTGCAGCCGTCTTCATCGACCTGGCCAAGGCTTTAGACTCTGTCAACCACCGCATTCTTATTGGCAGACTAAATAGCCTTGGTTTCTCAAATGACTGCCTCGCCTGGTTCACCAACTACTTCTCAGATAGAGTTCAATGTGTCAAATCGGAGGGCCTGTTGTCTGGACCTATGGCAGTCTCTATGGGGGTGCCACAGGGTTCAATTCTTGGGCCGACTCTTTTCTCTGTGTATATCAATGATGTCGCTCTTGCTGCTGGTGATTCTCAGATCCACCTCTACGCAGACGACACCATTTTGTATACATCTGGCCCTTCATTGGACACTGTGTTAACAAACCTCCAAACAAGCTTCAATGCCATACAACACTCCTTCCGTAGCCTCCAACTGCTCTTAAACACAAGTAAAACTAAATGCATGCTCTTCAATCGAACGCTGCTGGCACCCGCCCACCCGACTAGAATCACTACTCTCGACGGGTCTGACCTAGAGTATGTGGACAACTACAAATACCTAGGTGTCTGATTAGACTGTAAACTCTCCTTCCAGACTCACATTAAGCATCTCCAATCCAATCTATTTCGCAACAAAGCCTCCTTCACTCATGCTGCCAAACATGCCCTCGTAAAACTGACTATCCTACCGATCCTTGACTTCGGCGATGTCATTTACAAAATAGCCTCCAACACTCTACTCAGCAAATTGGATGTAGTCTATCACAGTGCCATCCGTTTTGTCACCAAAGCCCCATATACTACCCACCACTGTGACCTGTACGCTCTTGTTGGCTGGTCCTCACTACATATTCGTCGCCAAACCCACTGGCTCCAGGCCATCTATAAATCACTCCAAGCAAATCCCCTCCTTATCATAGCTCATTGGTCACCATAGCAACACCCACCCGTAGTATGCGCTCCAGCAGGTATATCTCACTGGTCATCCCCAAAGCCAACACCTCATTTGGCCGCCATTCCTTCCAGTTCTGTGCTGCCAATGACTGGAACGAACTGCAAAAATCTCTGAAGCTGGAGACTCTTATCTCCCTCACTAACTTTAAGCATCAGTTGTCAGAGCACCTTACCGATCACTGCACCTGTACACACCCATTCTGAAATTAGCCCACCAAACTACCTCATCCCCATATTGTTATTTATTTTGTTCATTTGCACCCCAGTATCTCTATTTGCACATCATCTCTTGCACATCTATCATTCCAGTGTTAATACTAATTGTAATTATTTTTGCACTATGGCCTATTTATTGCCTTACCTCCATAACTTACTACATTTGCACACACTGTATATATATTTTCTGTTGTATTTTTGACTTTATGTTTTGTTTTACTCCATATGTAACTCTGTGTTGTTGTTTTTATCGCACTGCTTTGCTTTATCTTGGCCAGGTCGCAGTTGTAAATGAGAAATTGTTCTCAACTGGCTTACCTGGTTAAATAAAGGTAAAAAAAACAACAAAAAAACATTATATTCCATTCAACTGTGACACTACTATCCCATAATTGTAGTCAGTACTCACGGTCTCCAGCAGTGGGCAGCAGACACCACCCACTGGGGCCGAATGAGGGTGGCTCCACAGTAGTGGTCCCTGTTATACTGTATAGATGCCTGGTACTTGATAGAGTACCGTTCGACTTCTTGTCCTCCGATGATTCTCTGTGTAAAAGTCTCTGTGGATTAGATTGAGAGGACAGTTTGTTATTCATCTGAATTAGTAATCTGAATTCCTACATGTGCATTGTGCATACAAATTATTCAGGTGGTTAGTAAATTATACTTGAAAATATACATTTTTTGGACATTACAAAATGTAGTTGTCATCTTTATGTGAATATAATTAGTACTTTACTCTACTTCACTTCACCTGTAAGTAAAAAAAAATGAATTCAACATAAGATAAATGCATAATCTAAACAACTATTTGCGTGTAAAAACAACTACATGGAAAATTGTGTTTAATTTACTCCATTTTCATAATATGTCCATTCAATTTAAGAATTTTAAGTTCTTCCAACAACTTGCCATGTGGCTCTGTTTTCAGAGGATTGTGGGTAATTGATTGAAAAAAAAACTTGTAGATACTTTTACACAATGTTGTATGCATGTTTGAAGAACGAAAAGCACATTTCTATATTAGTATCAAATCGTTTGTTATGCTATGAGGTGTACTGGATCATGATGAATGGATATCAAAACCGTCGGGCAAATTGACGTTAAATGATGAGAGCACCCATTCTCACCATTAGTAAGATCATGCATGCTACTCTAGACAAAGCAAATACATCAAGCTACAATGCTTGCAGCTTTACCTCCAGTTAGTGCTAGTGGAATGAGCATATGCGCTCAACAATTCCTGCTAAAGTGGATGAAAATGTTGAGCGATGAAGTACATAAATCCATGTTTATCACTAAGACACGATCAATGAAAGTACAGTTGAAGTCGGAAGTTTACATACACTTAGGTTGGAGTCATTAAAAATCGTTTTTCAACCACTCCACAAATTTCTTGTCAACAAACTATAGTTTTGGCAAGTCGGTTAGGACTCCTACTTTGTGCATGACACAAGTAATATTTCCAACAATTGTTTACAGACAGATTATTTCACTTATAATTCACTGTATCACAATTCCAGTGGGTCAGAAGTTTACATTCACTAAGTTGACTGTGCCTTTAAACAGCTTGAAAAATTCTAGAAAATTATGTCATGGCTTTAGAAGCTTCTGATAGGCTAATTGACATCATTTGAGTCAATTGGAGGTTTACCTGTGAATGTATTTCAAGGCCTACTTTCAAACTCAGTGCCTCTTTGCTTGACATCATGGGAAAATCAAAAGAAATCAGCCAAGACCTCAGAAAAAAAATTGTAGACCACCACAAGTCTGGTTCATCTTTGGGAGCAATTTCCAAAACACCTGAAGGTACCACGTTCATCTGTACAAACAATAGTACGCAAATATAAACACCATGGGACCACGCAGCCGTCATACCGCTCAGGAAGGAAACGCGTTCTGTCTCCGAGAGATGAACGTACTTTGGTGCGAAAAGTGCAAATCAATCCCAGAACAACAGCAAAGGACCTTGTGAAGATGCTGGAGGAAACAGGTACAAAAGTATCTATATCCACAGTAAAACGAGTCCTATATCGACATAACCTGAAAGGCCACTCAGAAAGGAAGAAGCCACTGCTCCAAAACCGCCATAAAAAAGCCAGACTACGGTTTGCAACTGCACATGGGGACAAAGATCGTACTTTTTGGAGAAATGTCCTCTGGTCTGATGAAACAAAAATAGAACTGTTTGGCCATAATGACCATCGTTATGTTTAGAGGAAAAAGGTGGGACCTTGCAAGCCGAAGAGCACCATCCCAACCGTGAAGCACAGGGGTGGCAGCATCATGCTGTGGGGGTGCTTTGCTGCAGGAGGGACTGGTGCACTTCACAAAATAGATGGCATCATGAGGAAGGAAAATTATGTGGATATATTGAAGCAACAAAACATCAGTCAGGAAGTTAAAGCTTGGTCGCAAATGGGTCTTCCAAATGGACAATGACCCCAAGCATACTTCCAAAGTTGTGGCAAAATGGCTTAAGGACAACAAAGTCAAGGTATTGGAGTGGCCATCACAAAGCCCTGACCTCAATCCTATAGAAAATGTGTGGGCAGAACTGAAAAAGCGTGTGCGAGCAAGGAGGCCTACAAACCTGACTCAGTTACACCAGCTCTGTCAGGAGGAATGGGCCAAAATTCACCCAACTTATTGTGGGAAGCTTGTGGAAGGCTACCCGAAACGTTTGACCCAAGTTAAACAATTTAAAGGCAATGCTACCAAATACTAATTGAGTGTATGTAAACTTCTGACCCACTGGGAATGCGATAAAATAAATAAAAGCTGAAATAAATCATTCTCTCTACTATTATTCTTAAATTTCACATTCTTAAAATAAAGTGGTGATCCTAACTGACCTACAACAGGGCATGTTTACTCGGATTAAATGTCAGGAATTGTGAAAAACTGAGTTTAAATGTATTTGGCTAAGGTGTATGTAAACTTGCGACTTCAACTGTAACTATATAATCAGAAAGATTAAGTAGATCTAATGTACAATAACAGTTCTGGATTTGATCAAATTAAGTTGGATCTTAGCCATTGTTTTATTCTGGACTTGACATATTAGTGTTTGTGAAATATATTATATGTAAAAATACACAATGTTGTAAATACTCAAAAAGCTGATGCAAATAGTTGCCAATTTTTTTGGGGTGGAACTAGCACAATATTTTTTACAGTGTACATTAAAAACCGTTATGGATACACTAATTGAACAGATGGCTGAAAAATGAATGTTTGAGGCCTGATGCTGTTCAAGGCTCTGTGGCCAATATTAGAAAAACAATGTTAATTCGGAAACAGTTGTAAACTGTGCGCATTATTTACAAAAAATACTAACCAGCTGGATACTGGCAGCATACTGTAAATTGTCGTACTGTTTTAAAGCATCAACAATGTACTTTTAGCTGTCAACACAGATACACGGTACCACATATGCTACACGTTTCTAGTGTGATACAGGTTTCACGTGGCTTAACCTCACATGCTATTACATATTGTAACAATGTTAGTCTAATCATGTAACCTGGACTGTAGGGACTTCAAATGTCATAGGATCCCGGACCTGACACCCGTGATGATGAGGATATGCTGTAACATACAATGGGTATTCAGTGCCGGACTTAGGCTAATCATGGCTCCTTTAGCTGTGTCTTTGTTTCCACCAGCACACGAACAAGCATACAGGCCGCATACAGAAGCATCTCCCTTTCAGAGTACTTTATTTACTATTTTTACTCTGCCCGAAACCATTATGTGATTTTATTAATCCTTCTAGAATTCAAGGCGTATTTGTACTGTTTACAAAACATGAACCACACATAATATGGCCTATTACAAGTCTTTTTTTAAAATCCAAGTATGATCTAGTAGTAACCTACCTCTGACTGAGAGAGCCAGTAGGAGCAGCACTGCAGACCATTTCAACTGATTCATGTTTACTTCACCTGAAACATGGAAATGCATTGCATTTTATTAGAGAACTCCCCAATAATAACATATCAGTATTTCTAGCCTGCATAGATGTCCTAGTGATTGTTTTCTCTCAAGACAAAATCCCAGACTGCTTCTCAGATCAAAGTTTTGCTACTCACCAACAGCCACAATCCTTCACTGCACAGCCTTCTGGTTCCAGGATTCTCCTCTCGCCTTTTATAATGGTACCATGTCCTTGTCTTTTGCTTTGTTATGTCCCATCATGCAGTGTCAATATGAAATGGGGTATCCCACAACACCAGACAGGGACTGACCTAGTACATGACAAAACATAGTGTCCTTTATTATCTTCATTTCTAAGCCTTTTCTTGATTGCCCCTTGGGGCTCATTGTTGAGTGGAGGTAGCTGGGAATTGGACACCTTTCTCCAGTCAAGCCCAAGACGTGAACATAATAAGAGTTCATCGGTTTATTGTGCTGATCGGATTGAATGGGGGTGGTGTTAGATAAGAATTAATGTATTGTGGTATTACAAAACAGTATTATTATAGCAAATATAAAAAGGTTACACTCCCGAGTGGCGCAGTGGTCTAAGGCACTGCATCGCAGTGTTAGTTGTGCCACTAGAGATCCTGGTTCGAATCCAGGCTCTGTCGTAGCCGGCCGCGACCAGGAGACCCATGGGGCGGCGCACAAGTCGTTCAGGGTAGGGGAGGGAATGGCCGGCAGGGATGTAGCTCAGTTGGTAGAGCATGGCGTTTGCAACGCCAGGGTTGTGGGTTCGATTCCCACGGGGGGCCAGTATGAAAAATACAATGCACTCACTAACTGTAAGTCGCTCTGGATAAGACCGTCTGCTAAATGACTAAAATGTAATTTTCCCCTTGGCATGATGTAAATGACTTGAACAATAGGCCTATCTAAATATGAATGTTTTGTGTGTGGTCATACATCCTCGAAAAACATAGGCTACACTGATAATACATACATGAAAGAACAGAAAAGCCCACACACTGTACACTCCTAATTACCACATTTAAAAACAACATTGTATTGCACCATATCAGGTTATCAACTTCTGCTTGCATTTTGTATTTCTATTTTGATGTGTATTTTCTGTAATTTCTTCATCTGTAAAATATTCCTTGATCTCAGTATGACTCCCTTATAAAATAAAGATTGAATAAATCATTTCTGCATTTTATTAAAATAGGTATTTCCAGAAACAGATCCTAATGGGGAACCGTGGTAATGACAAGTGTAGGTTTTGCAGTTTCAGGTATGAATTAAATAATAGTAGTTACATTATAATCATGTTTGTGCCAATTCCTATACTCTAGAGATACACTTTCATGCATCATTACAATGGGGAGTTATAGTGTGTATATACTGTACAGTGAATAGTTACAGTGTCATTTTGATCAACTTTTCTGTTGTTGTCTGATCCCATCTCCGATTCTATACTTCACACCAAAATAGGACAATTCCTAACAGACAGAAACAGTTTTGAAGATCAATTCTAAACCAACTATTTCTTTACTCTTGAATACACTGAGAAGTTATACTATGAATATACTTGTTACAAACCAGGCCTGAGCCTATTGAGACACATTGACAGAGCATGCACCCTCAGGGATCCTGTACTCCCTGTTCACCTATGACTTCATGGCCAGGCACGACTCAAACACCATCATTAAGTTTGCCGACGACACAACAGTGATCACCACCAATGACGAGACAGCCTATAGGGAGGAGGTCATAGACCTGGCCGTGTGGTGCCAGGATAACAACCTCTCCCTCAACGTGATCAAGACAAAGGAGATGATTGTGGACTACAGCGAAAAAAAGAGGACTGAGCACGCACCCATTCTCATCAATGGGGCTGTAGTGGAACAGGTTGAGAGCTTCAAGTTCCTTGGTGTCCACATCACCAACAAACTATTATGGTCCAAACACACCAAGACAGTCGTGAAGATGGCACGACAAAGCCTATTCCCCCTCAGGAGATGAAAAGATTTGGCATGGGTCCTCAGATCCTCAAAAAGTTATACAGTTGTACCATCGAGAGCATCCTGACTGGTTGCATCACTGCCTGGTATGGCAACTGCTCGGCCTCCGACCGCAAGGCACTACAGAGGGTAGTGCGTACGGCCCAGTACATCAATGGGGCCAAGCTTCCTGCCATCCAGGACCTCTATACCAGGCGGTGTCAGAGGAAGTCCCTAAAAATTGTCAAAGACTCCAGCCATCCTAGTCATAGACTGTTCTCTCTGCTACCGCACGGCAAGCGGTACCAGAGCGCCAAGTCTAGGTCCAAAAGGCTTCTCAACAGCTTCTACCCCCAAGCCATAAGACTCCTGAACAGCTGATCTTGGCTACCCGGACTATTTGCATTGTCCCCCCCACCGCACCCCACCCCCTCTTTTACGCTGCTGCTACTCTCTGTTTATTATCTATGCATAGTCACTTTAACTCTACCCACATGTACATATAATTTTTTACTCATCAATTTTTTACTTAACACTTATTTTTCTTAAAACTGCATTGTTGGTTAAGGGCTTGTAAGTAAGCATTTCACTGTAAGGTCTACACCTTAAAGGACCTCGATACCAGGCGGTGTCAGAGGATGGCCCTAAAAATTGTCAAAGACTCCAGCCACCGTTCTCTCTGCTACCGCACGGCAAGCGGTACCGCTTTGCATGTGGCAAATAAAATGTAATTTAATTTAATACAAAACCTAACAATTCCCTATAGAGCTGATCACTGCTGTTGCAATACATAAGCCACAGTATGTTATTAAAGCCACTCGCTACTTGCTATCAGTCACTGCTCTGCTTCAAGGTTGTGACCAAGGACTGTGATTGACTGATGGTTGAAGTGGCACACGGACAGACAGTCGTTCATGACTCTGCTTTATATATGGGCCTTTGTGTCACCCTGTTCCAATTATGCTCTTACGGTAAATTGGGTATATTGAGGTCATGTTTATCTCTTCCTGTCTATGAATGGAAAAGCAGTGTCACTTTACTATACTGTGTCTCACACAGTATCTCATACTGTTGGCAATTCAACTGCATTCGTTTACAATATTTTCCACATATTCAGAAATGGAAAATCAGATAATAGACATTTTAAAGAAAGCATTATACAATCAATTATGCTCAAGGCTGTTATTCTCTGATTGCCATCATGTTAGTGATACAGTGGGGAGAACAAGTATTTGATACACTGCCGATTTTGAAGGTTTTCCTACTTATAAAGCATGTAGAGGTCTGTAATTTTTTATCATAGGTACACTTCAACTGTGAGAGACGGAATCTAAAACAAAAATCCAGAAAATCACATTGTATGATTTTTAAGTAATTAATTTGCATTTTATTGCATGACATAAGTATTAGATCACCTACCAACCAGTAAGAATTCTGGCTCTCACAGACCTGTTAGTTTTTCTTTAAGAAGCCCTCCTGTTCTCCACTCATTACCTGTATTAACTGCACCTGTTTGAACTCGTTACCTGTATAAAAGACACCTGTCCACACACTCAATCAAACAGACTCCAACCTCTCCACAATGGCCAAGACCAGAAAGCTGTGTAAAAGGACATCAGGGATAAAATTGTAGACCTGCACAAGGCTGGGATGGGCTACAGGACAATAGGCAAGCAGCTTGGTGAGAAGGCAACAACTGTTGGCGCAATTATTAGAAAATGGAAGAAGTTCAAGATGACGGTCAATCACCCTCGGTCTGGGGCTCCATGCAAGAGCTCACCTCGTGGGGCATCAATGATCATGAGGAAGGTGAGGGATCAGCCCAGAACTACACGGCAGGACCTGGTCAATGACCTGAAGAGAGCTGGGACCACAGTCTCAAAGAAAACCATTAGTAACACACTACGCCGTCATGGATTAAAATCCTGCAGCGCACGCAAGGTCCCCCTGCTCAAGCCAGCGCATGTCCAGGCCCGTCTGAAGTTTGCCAATGACCATCTGGATGATCCAGAGGAGGAATGGGAGAAGGTCATGTGGTCTGATGAGACAAAAATAGAGCTTTTTGGTCTAAACTCCACTCGCCGTGTTTGGAGGAAGAAGAAGGATGAGTACAACCCCAAGAACACCATCCCAACCGTGAAGCATGGAGGTGGAAACATCATTCTTTGGGGATGCTTTTCTGCAAAGGGGACAGGACGACTGCACCGTATTGAGGGGAGGATGGATGGGGCCATGTATCGCGAGATCTTGTTGCCCAGCGACATCCCCGAAACCTGAAGGATCTGGAGAAGGTCTGTATGGAGGAGTGGGCCAAAATCCCTGCTGCAGTGTGTGCAAACCTGGTCAAGACCTACAGGAAATGTATGATCTCTGTAATTGCAAACAAAGGTTTCTGTACCAAATATTAAGTTCTGCTTTTCTGATGTATCAAATACTTATGTCATGCAATAAAATGCAAATTAATTACTTAAAAATCATACAATGTGATTTTCTGGATTTTTGTTTTAGATTCCGTGTCTCACAGTTGAAGTGTACCTATGATGATAAAAATTACAGACCTCTACATGCTTTGTAAGTAGGAAAACCTGCAAAATCGGCAGTGTATCAAATACTTGTTCTCCCCACTGTATATCATACAGATGTAGGATCTTAATTTGACCACCCTGTTGCACAAGAACTTGACCACCCTGTTGCTGCAATGCAGGAAATGTAAAACTTGTAGTGTATTTGAGATTTGAAAAGGCTTCACATGTTTGTAATTTCCACTTTGAAATTTTAGACTATTTTCCCTTATGAAAAATTTAGCAACCCCTACAAAAATGTCCATGAATTATAAACCACATAATAATTCACATTTCCTGTTGCTGCAGGATTATTTTCCTGCTGTAGCAAACTGGCTCAAATTTAGATCCTACATCTGTATAGATATGTTGTGTGAAAGTATTATTGTCCCAATTTAGATAAAATACTGATAAAATACATTATTAGGTACAAAACACCTCTGGATTATAC